GGGGGTGTGTCAAATGTTGTAGCCTGTAGTGAGGTTTGTCTTAGGGGGTACAGAAGTTAGGGTTTGTCATTGTCAAATGTTGTAGCCTGTAGTGAGGTTTGTCTTAGGGGGTACAGAAGTTAGGGTTTGTCATATGTACCCCAACCAACATCAATGGAAACACCATTCCTCATTCTGACACTTCCCTCCAAACTCGCAACTGCTTCGACCGTCAGATCTACATTTGCTCGATCAACGGCCCACATTCGAACCTCTACTTCATATTGGGCCTGTTCATCTTCGACCGTCAGATCGAAATCGTACTTCATCAACGCCCTACATTCCAACCTTTTCAAAAAAATTGTCAAAGGCATTTCAGCCGTCGGATTCAGCTGAAGGGGAGATCTACGGCATCCTCGCTAGTGTGGGGCCTGTTTTCAGTACAGGGCTGCCTTATTTAGAAGGTGGGAGAGTGTAAGGATTTACAAATCCTTACTGAGGCACTCGTTAGCGAGGCCATCCCGAGGGTCACGCGACGAACCTGACCTTCCTATTTCGTAGCACCGAGCCACTCCCGAGTCGGCCTCCGCTCCAATCGCAACCATCACCGAGCCATCCCATCCCGAACCCCCGCCTAGCTAGGTTTTCTCCTATCTAGGCCTCGTTACTTCATTGTGGATTCAGTGAATTCAGTACTCATTCTCGATATTCGATATTCTGCGCACTCTGCAAGTTCATTCATAACACATTCGCTCACTCAAAAGAACTCAACAATTCCTACACTCAAAGTTTGAGTGCATGCGACCAAGTGTAAGTAATTCCATGAAAAGGGCTGAGGACGCGGTGAAAGTGCTCGATCGGGGGTCGATCGATTCGGTCACCGCACTGAACCTCGCGTTCTAGACACGAAAGGTATACAACCTTTTATAACCGCGCTACAAAACGATCCTTAGGCGATCGATTCTCCACTTTCACCGCGCCTTGACACAAGTGACCATCTTGACGTGAACTGACCAGCATGCAAGAAGGCGTGTTCAGTTCCACACGCCCGTCCTGAACAGAGCATTGGGGACGTCATATTTAAAAGATCCAGTGGTTACCACACTGTACACACAAGACTCAACTAGCACCAAGGACAAGCGGTCAGACTAGTTCCCAAGCTATTTGTGTATCGAGAAGAATTTCCTTCGATCCGAAATTTGCCCTCCAATGTTCATGCTTTTCAGTGTCAGCAGCAGGCTTCAGCTTTATTGGAGCTCGGCCTGCCAGCTCCACATTGGATGTTGGGTTCTGAAGCTGCGCTCCACACTTCAGAATATAACGCCAGCACATGTATCCTTTTCTAACATCGATCACTTCCTGGAACAACTTTCCTTGCCACAGCCTGGCATCAAGCCTCGAACCTGCTATTGGATCAAGCTGTAGTACTTCCTTCATCCTTTCAAAAGCGAGAATGACATCGGCCTTGCTCGCGCGTTTTACTCTGCTAGTCTCACTACTTGCCTTCGCTGTTCTTCACTCCAACGCCGTTCGCCTTATCCCCTCGCAAGAAACAGCTCTACTTTCCTTGAAAACCGCATGGCGTGACTGTCCGGCTATCAAGACGTGGATAGCCGGCGCCGACTGCTCTAAATGGTATGGCGTTGGGTGCGACAGACGCGGCATGGTTACCGGTCTACACATCTCCAGCGACTACTATACGGCATGCACCGGCGAGTTGACGGAATCCGTTGGAAACCTGACGGAGCTGAAAACGCTTCGTGTCTCCAGTATTCGGCGCATCTTCGGCAGCTTGCCCAAGAGCCTCGCGAATCTGAAAAAACTGGAGCTGATCTCGTTCGACTACAACATACATGGTGCTCTCTCCGGCAAACTCCCAGATTACATCTTCAATTACGTCCGCCTAACGGAGCTCGTGCTGCAGGGGACGGGGCTCACAGGGAGCATCCCACGCGAGATCTCGCGACTCAGTCGCCTTACGCACCTCGACCTCCAATGGAACCGCCTCCGTGGCAAAATCCCTCGGGAACTGTCGGCACTGGCGGCTCTGAAGACGCTTTATTTGGGCGGGAACCGACTGACGGGATCGATTCCACCGACCCTCGGCTACCTCACGGGTATGACGAGCCTGCGTCTTGGGAGTAACAAGCTCTCGGGCGCGCTTCCAGCTAATGTGTTTCTCTCTATGCAGAGCCTCGAGCGCCTAGAACTGCAGAGAAATCGATTTACTCAGCAAGCAGCTTCGTCTCTCGCCAAACTCGCGAGCCACCCATCTCTGTCAGATATTGATCTCAGTTGGAACCTTCTTTCGGGAGGTGTGCCGTCGGAACTCGGGCAGATGAAAAGGCTGGTATCCCTGTGCTTGGCTGGAAATGGGCTGACGGGACCAGTGCCTGTGGCTTCAATCCGAAACATGCCGAATCTCTACAATCTGGACCTTTCTTATAACAGGCTAAGTGGAGAGTTTCCCTGGGCGGCCTTTAGAACATCCCCATGGTTGAAACTCGTCCAGCTCCAGCGCAACGCGTTCGTCGGCGCGATTCCCGCAAATGCGTTTAAGAAGAGCAACGTGGCTCATTTCAACATATCTTTCAACCTCTTCTCCGGGCCCATGCCGAATCTGGGGTTCATGGGCGGGGATGAGGAACCGCCGGTAGACGTGCGCGGGAACTATTTCTGGGGCAGCCCGGAGTTTACAATGTCTAATTACAAAATCTGCCCGGAGGAGGGGCAGGAGGATCCTTTCGAAGGCAACGACGAGTATCTCGCGGCGCTGAACTGTCTCGGTAACAGCGCCACGTGTAACATGAAGCAGCAGCGAAGTGCGGCAGCGTGCAGGCTGTTTTGCGGGACGAGTAAGAAGAATGGCCCATGCTCGGGCCACGGCGTGTGCGTTCCGGCAGGTGGGAGGCAGTTCAAGTGCAGGTGTGCAAGTGGGTACAAATCGGTTCAGGGAAAGCCGCACGAGTGCGTCAAGGGGTGAACCTTTCACATACGTGGCACGTAGTATTATTTCAGGGCCCGTGGTGCTTGCGCGTTATTTTGATTAGGTTGTGAAGCGGATTCATATGTGGTTCGGGGATCATACGATTGTCCTGTGCATGTACGCCAATCAATATAGGTGCTCTTGAGATGTTTTACAGCGTGCAAGTAGCACCAGCTTAAAGCAGTTCGCTGTGCTTACCAGTCCTCGAAGTCGAGTTTACATCGGTGTTACCGTCGGTCAATACGCCTCCCAGCTTGTTGAGGCTTCTGGACTTATTATGAGAAAGCGAAAAATCATGCTCGAGAATGCCTGCTTGTGGACTGGCACTAAATGCAGAGTCGCCCCAAGGGATGCATTCTCGAAAATTTCTCGCTGAACTGGCACTAATTGCAGAATCGCTGAGTTCACATTCACAACGATGAATTGCGTCGCTGTTATTTGGGTTGTGCGGAGCTCCTGGTTGAGGCTAGGAGGAGCGGAAGAGCTTCCTATTCAGTGTGCGTGGTGTGAGATGTGCAGCTGCACCTGATCACACTTCGCTCTTCGGATACGTGCAATGTACACAGAGCAGCGATGATTTGCGAAAAGAAACAAGAGAGGGGAGCTGCTGTCGAAACCAGTCGCGGGACACGCTGAAACTTTCGCAAACAAACACCGCGGTAGTGAAAGGACGAAGGTTGACTTGTCGACATTATTGGAGGGTCAGGGCGTATTCCAAAGCACGGACACCATCCGAAGTCGGGCCACGCGGTTCGCAATGCTGGAAATTCGAATTTCAATGTTGCGCCACGCGGTTCGGCATCAAGACACTTTGGAGCTGACGGCCACGTAACATGCGACCGTCTTGTACGTCTTCATGCGACAAGGGGTTTCATGCCATGTTGGTGTATGATTGGGACATTGAACCTGACAGGCTGAGTACGTGACCAGTTACCGTCACGAAACTTTACGCATTCTGACCCGCGCGCTAGTCGGCTGTACAAACTCCAGATCCAAGAAGTTTGCTGGCTAGTAGTTGGTGTCGAATGTGTTATGACGAGTGCAGTTTTGTATGGTTTCAAGGCACGGGAAACAAGAAGCATAGAGTTGGAAAAAACGATTTCGCGGCAGAAGTTTCACAATTGCCCGCGAAGTCAGAACTGGACGTTTGGCAGGCTACACTCCATGGGTTCTGCCAGATTCTATTGGGCGCGAAGCAAACCAAACCGGCTCTGCGTCAGACGACGCAGACGACTGTTCAGGCCAACCTGCGACCCCAAAAGTCAAGATTGGGGGCCTGCCCCACACAGACACCATCCCGAGCCCCAAGAAGTTCGGATGGGGCCACTTCGGATGGTGTCCGTGCTTTGGAATACGATCTCAGACAATTATTGCATTGCAGCCTGGCGAGGTCAACAACGTCGTCGTGGCCTTGCGCATCGCCGGAAGGAGCGCTGGTCGGATATAATGCAACCCAAAAATGCATACAACGTAGTAAGTAGCCTACACCTAGTAATGCAAATGTGTACAGTATGCACTACTATGTTTGTAGCTGCTCGGTGGTGCGAACCCTTATCCAGTCCCTCAGCCAGGTAACAACCTGCGTGGCAAACGAAAAACGAGATTGAAAGAGGGGGAAATATGTAAAACTCATATGAAAGACTAAGAGTACCGTAACATAAAGTCTCTACTGCGTAGAGCTTCCTAGAGATTTTACCCAATTGCCAGGCCACCCCCCAAGATAGCTATCCAGTCCTGAAGCCACTCTGCACACCTGCTCACCACACATGCGGTTCACCTGGTCCATGGACGGCCTGTGCTTGTGGTTGGGCGCAAGGCACAGCAGGAGCTCACCTGAAGCCAGTGAACCGCTCTACACACCTGCTCACCACACATGCAGCTCACCTGGTCCATGGACGGCCTGCACTTGGGGTTGGAGGCAGGGCACAGCAGGAGCTCACCTGAAGCCAGTGAACCGCTCTACACACCTGCTCACCACACATGCAGCTCACCTGGACCATGGACAGCCTGAACTTGGGGTTGGAGGCAGGGCACATCACAGCATGGACACTGCCTGCAGCTGCGCGGGGTCAAGCCTCTCAATGCCCCTCCCTGCCCTGTGCACGAGACGCACCTGATCCATGGACAGTCGGTGCTTGGGGTTGGCAGCGAGGCACAGCACGGCCAGCATGGACACTGCCTGCAGCTGCGCTGGGTCAAACAAGCGCCCCAATTCCTCTCTCCTCCTTGTGCAAGTAACGCACCTGATCCATCGGCGGTCGGTGCTTGGGGTTCGCAGCAAGGCACAGCACGGCCAGCATGGACACTGCCTGCAGCTGCGCTAAATCGTAGCGGCCCTCAAGTCGGTAATCCACAAGGCGAGTGAACTCCTCATTGTTGGCGATGGGGATGGCCTGCAATGGGCATGGGGATGGGCACGGATGGGGAGGAAATGCATTGAGCTGTGTGCCTGCATTCGCCTTTCTACGGTAGGCGTCAAAGCGGCCCTTCAGACGGTAGTCCCAAGCCCTCCTCGTTGTTGGCGATGGGGATGGCCTGCAATGCAATGGGTATGGGGATGGGGATGGGCACGAATGGGGGACGAAGGGTGTTGATTGCCTGACAGGTGTGCTCCTGGTCTTCTGAGTCGCAATTTGAAGGGCATCAAAGCCGCCCTCCAATCGGTAGCCCACGAGGCGAGTGAACCCCTCATTGTTGGCGATGGAATGGCCTGCAGGGACAGACGGAGATGGTCAAGGCTGGGGATGAAAGGCAATGAGCAGTGCTCCTCTATTCACCTCACTACGGCAAGGGTCAAAGCGCCCCTCCAGGCGATGGTCCACCGTATAGCGAGGGTGTTTTTGAGACGTCTCAAAAACACCCTCGCTACACGCGCCCCTCCAGGTGATGGTCCACGAGGCATGTGACACATGGCAATGGGGATGGCCTAAGGGGATATGACATTAGGCATGATAGTCAAACCCTAAACTCCTCGTTGTTGGCAATGGGGATGGCCTGCAGGCACACATGGCGTGTATGGGTATGCAAGAGGGTGAGCACTAGATGCACCGAGATCATAAGTTTTACGGTTTTGCGTTTCGGGTTTAAGGTTTGAAGTTTGAGTCTAGGGTTGAGGGTTCAGGTTTTAAGGTGAACTTCTTGTTGGAGATGGCGATGTACTCTTTAAAGAGGACATACATGCGGGACGGCAGGTGGGAAAGCGGCTTACCCAGGCAGAGAGGTTGGGGGGTTGCCTGCCGGGGTGGAAGGGCACATGACCCGTTATAAGCTCCAGGAGAATGACTCCAAACGCGTACACATCTATTGCTGCTGTTATGAGGCCGGTCTGCACGTACTCTGGTGCCACGTAGCTGACAAAAAGGGAACAAGGGGGGAGGTGGGGAGAAGTCGAAGGCAGAGTCATTGCATTTCTGAGGGGAATTTGCCCCAAGGTCGCATCACGGCGCATCTATTGCTGCTGTGGTGAACCCTGCTTGCACGTTCCTGGGAAAATGGCATCAAAGGGGGAGGGGGGAGAAGGAGGAAGAGGAGGAGGCGGTGAAGGTCTTTGAGGAGCAAAGGAAGGCGAGCGCTTGGTGCGTGCTACGACATGAGGACTGGGGGGCATAGAACTATACAGAGACACGGCAACTAGCTGAGGAGGAAATGCCTTCACCGCAACCACCGCACTGCACTGCACTGCACTGCTGTGCTTGGGGAGGCCAGAATTTTCGTCCATGTGAGCAGGTTGCAAGGGCTGCTACTGATGCTAGTAGTAGTGTGACTATAGCGAATGGGCAGCGAGCGAGAATGTGACAACAATGAAGTCTAACCCTCCGGAGCCCGCGATGCTGGTAACCGCGATCGACTGGGTGTGTGTAACTAGGCTACACATGAAGAATCCGTTTGTTATTACACAGAATGTATTGGTAAATCTCACCCTCTGGTGCCCATGATGCTAGTAGAAGTGTGACAATAGCGAATGGGCAGTACGAGAGAATGTGATGAAGGACCATTCATGTGATGAAGGCTCACCCTCGGGTGCCCATGATGCTGGTAACCGCCATGGGCTGGGTGTACTGATCTGATCTGACGCCACCTTGGCTGCAAGTGATGCTAGTAGCAGTAGCATGACTGTAGCGAATGGGCGGTGCCAGTAAGCGAGAATGATGTGACAAGAATGAAGGCTCACCCTCTGGTGCCCATGATGCTGGTAACCGCCATTGGCTGGGTGTACTGGTCTGAAGCTACCTTGGCTGCAAGTCATGCTAGTAGCAGCAGCGTGACTGTAGCGAATGGGCGGTACCGGTAAGAGAGAATGATGTGACAAGAATGAAGGCTCACCCTCTCGTGCCCATGATGCTGGTAACCGCCATTGGCTGGGTGTACTGGTCTGAAGCTACCTTGGCTGCAAGTCATGCTAGTAGCAGCAGCGTGACTGTAGCGAATGGGCGGTACCGGTAAGAGAGAATGATGTGACAAGAATGAAGGCTCACCCTCTGGTGCCCATGATGCTGGTAACCGCCATTGGCTGGGTGTACTGGTCTGAAGCTACCTTGGCTGCAAGTCATGCTAGTAGCAGCAGCGTGACTGTAGCGAATGGGCAATACCGGTAAGAAAGAATGATGTGACAAAAATGAAGGCTCACCCTCTGGTACCCATGATGCTGGTAACCGCCATTGGCTGGGTGTACTGGTCTGAAGCTGCCTTGGCTGCAAGTCATACTAGTAGCAGCAGCGTGACTGTAGCGAATGGGCAGTACCGGTAAGAAAGAATGATGTGACAAAAATGAAGGCTCACCCTCTGGTGCCCATGATGCTGGTAACCGCCATTGGCTGGGTGTACTGGTCTGAAGCTACCTCGGCTGCAAGTCATGCTAGTAGCAGCAGCGTGACTGTAGCGAATGGGCGGTACCGGTAAGAAAGAATGATGTGACAAAAATGAAGGCTCACCCTCTGGTGCCCATGATGCTGGTAACTGCCATTGGCTGGGTGTACTGATCTGAAGCTACCTTGGCCAGCCCAAAATCGGAGACCTAACGACCCAGGAAGGGAGGCGAAGGAGGGGAGAGGAGGAACACAGAAAGAGAACGGGTGGGTGAGAGCGCACTTAAGTGAAAGGCGAAGGAGGGGAGAAGAGGCACACAGGAGGAGAACCGGGGACACTGCCCTGGAAACCAGAGTTGACGAGCGTTGACTGTGGTTGCTAGTGCACTCATTTTATTGATGTTGACTACGTTGACCAGCCTTTGACTGGCGTTGATTCACCCGGGCATGGCATCGAGTATAACGCTGGCCGCTTTCACATCCCAATGGATGATGGGCGGCCGGTATGCGTGCAGGAAAACCAGCCCGGTGGTATTGACCACCTTTGACCAGCCTTTGACTGACGTTGACTGGCGTTGACCAGCGTTGACTCACCAGCGCGTGCATGTTGGCATCCAGCAGCACATTGGCCGCCTTCACGTCCCGATGGATGATGGGCGGCCGGCACGAGTGCAGGAAGGCCAGCCCGGTGGCCGCCTCACACGCGATGCGCATGCGGAGATCCCAAGGTAGCGGGGGCTTTGTGTGGTCTGCCACACGGACGGGAGGGGAACAGGGGTTTTCGCTTCTGGTTCACTTGCAGGGCAGAATAGCGGCACAGAGGCAGGCAGGAAGGCCAGCCCGGTTGCCGCCTCACAGGAAATGCGCATGCGCAAATCACAAGGTAGCGGGGGCTTTGTGTGGTCTGTGCACAACCAAAAAGGGAATGCAAGGGTTCGATTAGGCAGCAGCACACAGAAGCGCATGAATCCCGAGGCAGCAGGGGCTTTGTGTGGTCTGTGCACAACCAAAAAGGGAATGCAAGGGTTCGATTAGGCAGCAGCACACAGAAGCGCATGAATCCCGAGGCAGCAGGGGCTTTGTGTGGTCTGGTGGGAGAAAGAAAAGGGAGTAGAGAGGTGGGTGGGGTAGATTCAGTAAAGTCTGAAAGGGCGGCCTCATCTCGAGCAACTCATTGGGAAAGCCACTCGCAAGGAGTTGGAAGTCACGTGTTTGAAGAAGTGTTTTGAGACGTCTCAAAACACTCGCAAGGAGTTGGAAGTCACGTGTTTGAAGAAGTGTTTTGAGACGTCTCAAAACACTCGCAAGGAGTTGGAAGTCACGTGTTTGAAGAAGTGTTTTGAGACGTCTCAAAACACTCGCAAGGAGTTGGAAGTCACGTGTTTGAAGAAGTGTTTTGAGACGTCTCAAAACACTCGCAAGGAGTTGGAAGTCACACACACCATCAGCAGCTCCTCATTTGAGTCGCACACACACGGGCAGCACCCTGTGCTTCCAAGTCCTTGCGTGGCACCCCTTCAAACCAGCAAAAACCCCACCCAAGGTTCCCTCACGTCTCAGCCGTGTCACCAGGGAACCATAGCGCAAAAAGTCAACCACCGTGATCAGCACCTTTCCCTCCATCGCACACCGTCACCCTTACCCAGCATCTACTGATACCGCCCCATGCTTCCCACCGCCCCATGCTTCCCACCGCCCCATGCTTCCCACCGCCCCATGCTTCCCACCGCTCACCTCTCAGCCAAACGTCGTCTTTGGAGATCCATTGGGGCCAGTGGAGGCAGGAAGTCAAACAGCATCAGCAGCTCCCCTGCCGTCGCTCGCACACACGCCCATCACCCTGTGCTGCCCAGTCCCTGCAACCCAAATACAGTCATCCCCTGATTGAAGAAGTGTTTTGAGACGTCTCAAAACACTTCTTCAATCACGTCGCTCGCACACACGCCCATCACCCTGTGCTGCCCAGTCCCTGCAACCCAAATACAGTTCCCCCCTGGGAGTTCCTCACCTTACCTCTCAGCCTCGTCTGCAGCGACCCATTGGGGAGGACGTCAAACACCATGAGAAAATCCCCCGCCATCGCACACACCCCCAGCGGCCCCAGCAGGCTCGGGTGCCGAATGCGCCTCAGCACCCTGAGGCTCCCTTAGCTCTCAGCCTCGTTTCAAGAGAACCATTGGGAAGGAAGTCGAACACCATGAGCAGCTCCCCTGCCGTCGCACACACGCCCAGCACCCTGTGCTCCCACCCAGTCACTGCCTAGTGACCCTTACCTCTCAGCCTCGTCTGCAGCGACCCATTGGGCAGGAAGTCGAACACCATGAGAAGCTCCCTCGCTGTCGCACACACGCCCAGCAGCCCCAGCAGGCTCGGGTGCCGAATGCGCCTCAGCAGCCTGCAGGTTCCCCAGAAACTCTCTCCCCCTCCTTACCTCTCAGCCTCGTCTCCAGTGACCCATTAGGCAGGAAGTTGAAGACCATCAGCAGCTCCCCCGCCGTCGCACACACCCCCAGCAGCCCCAGCAGGCTCGGGTGCCGGATGCGCCTCAACACACGCAGCTCCGCCAGAAACTGCCGAGCGTTTGCCGCCCCCTGCACGTCCGCTACAGCCGGCCCCCACCATCGCAGTCTCTTCACCGCTACCTTCCGACAACCCCCACTGGCCGCACCACTGCCGCTCCCCCCCCCCTGCGCCCCCCCCTGCTGCGTCCCCCCCTGTTCCGCCCTCCCCCCATCCCCCTCTCCCCCACCCCTCGCTCCCCCCACCCTGGGATTCCACCTGAGGGCACCTGCCAGGTGGAAGCATCCCCACAAACACCTGACCACTGCCGCCCTCCCCGATCAATCTCTGCGGGGAGAAATTATCCGTGGCCAATAGGAGCTCGTCCAGGTAAAATTCCTGCTGCCCGTACTCGTCCTGCCCGTATACTTCCCGAATGATTTCGGTCGGCGGGGCAGGAGGGACTGGGGATGGGGGAGGGGCGAAGAAATCCTGGCCGTTGGATTGGGATCGGGGAGATCTGGGACATTGCTGCCAGCCCCCACCACTGTCCCCTCCCCCTCCCCCCATAACCCCCCCTCCCCCCATTCCTCCCCCCATCCCTCCCCCCATTGCTCCTCTGCTTCCTCCCCCATTCGGTACCCCACCGCCCCCATCAGACCCCCCTCCATACTCCCCTGACCCCTGCCCCGCTCCCCCTCCCCCCAAGCCACTCCCCCCTCCCCCTTCCCCCATGCCACTCCCCCCTCCCCCTCCCCCTGGGTCTATCCGCGGAGATTGGGGGGAGGTAGGCGGAACAGGCACTTTCCCTGTGCGGGGTTCGGGGCAAGGGCAAACGGAAGTGGGGACGGGGGAACAGGCAACAAGGAGGGGGAGGGGAAAGGGGGAAGAAGGGGATTGGAAGAAGGGACGAGGAGTGAAAGGGGGAGAAACGGCGGGGATGGTTAGTGGTATGCATGTGAAGAGGAGGGCTTTAAGACAGTTTCAAACGGGGAGGAACAGTGAGGATGCTTAGCGGTATGCATGATGCATGTGGATGGTTAGTGGTATGCTGGACGCATGTGGAGAGGAGAGGAGGGTGGGTGTGAGCAGGGAGGTGAGTGGGAAGAAAGAGATGTGGAAGGGAGTAATAACACACTCAATCTCATCATGGTTGCCACGTCAGCAAACCTGCCTTGTCTTGTAGCGGAGCAGGCGTTATTTGAGACGAGCATGATCTTGCAGCTGGCAGACAGCCGGTCGGCGAGAAACGTCATCATGTCCACATCAGACCCGGCACTGCCACTGAAAGGAGAGAAGTATAATGTGAAGGGGTAAGAGGGGGAGAGCTCTGAGACGCAGGGGAAGGATTAGAAGAAGGGGCGCATAAAGAGTGATATGATACCAACAAGAAAACTCGCCCACCCTGTAACACTGATGGTCTGCGCCACTCGTTATAAAGCACCAGCTCTCTGATTCCAGAAACTTTGCCTTGTGTACCAGAGAATTCCATGGCAATAATTCTCGTCATTTACGCTCACTCACCCAATGAGAGCGATGGTGCGTCACACAGGCCCAATAACCACCAGCCCCGCCTTTAGCAGCTTTGCCTTGTATAACCCGTAACCATTCTCATTATAAGCACACTCACCCTATGAGAGCGATGGTGCGTCACACAGGCCCAATAACCACCAGCCCCGCCTTTAGCAGCTTTGCCTTGTATAACCCGTAACCATTCTCATTATAAGCACACTCACCCTATGAGAGCGATGGTGCGTCACACAGGCCCAATAACCACCAGCCCCGCCTTTAGCAGCTTTGCCTTGTATAACCCGTAACCATTCTCATTATAAGCACACTCACCCTATGAGAGCGATGGTGCGTCACACAGGCCCAATAACCACCAGCCCCGCCTTTAGCAGCTTTGCCTTGTATAACCCGTAACCATTCTCATTATAAGCACACTCACCCTATGAGAGCGATGGTGCGTCACACAGGCCCAATAACCACCAGCCCCGCCTTTAGCAGCTTTGCCTTGTATAACCCGTAACCATTCTCTTTATAAGCACACTCACCCTATGAGAGCGATGGTGCGTCACACAGGCCCAATAACCACCAGCCCCGCCTTTAGCAGCTTTGCCTTGTATAACCCGTAACCATTCTCATTATAAGCACACTCACCCTATGAGAGCGATGGTGCGTCACACAGGCCCAATAACCGCCAGCCCCGCCTTTAGCAGCTTTGCCTTGTATAACCCGTAACCATTCTCATTATAAGCACACTCACCCTATGAGCGTGATGGTGCGTCGCACGGGCCCGATGACCACCAGCCCTGCCTTGAGCAGGTTTGCCTCGTAGAACAGGGAAGCCCATTACCACCATTCTCGTTATAGGCATGCTCACTCACCCAATAAGCGTGATGGTGCGTCGCACGGGCCCTATGACCACCAGCCCCGCCTTGAGCAGCTTTGCCTCGTAGAGCAGCGCGTCTCGCACACGAGGGGCCGAGCGCACAACAACTTGGAGAGTGATCTGGTGGAGAGGGGTGCAGAGGGGTGGAATGCGGCGCCGGACACAGACGATGATGCTTCAACTCAGCCTGCTAGCCTGCCCCCCTTGAGCAGCTTTGCCTCATAGAGCAGGGCATCTCGCACACGAGGGGCTGAGCGCACCACGACTTGGAGAGCCATCTGATGGAGCGCGGTGGAATGGAGTGGAGTGTGGGAAACAGTGGATGATGCGTCAAACTCAGTTACCCTGCCTGCCTGCCCGCCTTGAGAAGCTTTGCCTTGTAGATCTTGGGGTGTGGGAATGAGCGCACGACGACTCGAAGAGTGATCTAGTGGATGGAGAGGGGTGGGGTGCGGTGCCAGACACAGTCGATGATGCCTCAAGTCAGCCTGCCCGCCTGCCTGCCTGCCTTGGGTGCAGCAACGCGCATCGCGCACGCGAGGAGACAAGCACACGACAGCTTGTGGGAGGAAAAGACGCCTTAATCCGAAAAACAGTAAAACAGGGCATGAAGCCCTCAAGGAGATGAACCGCCTCTGGCAGCACCTTGTGCAACCGAATAGCTACGTGTTGACCACAATCGCCTCACCTGCTTTGCCGCCGCCACCTCCATCTTGGGGTGCAGGGCTGGCAGCATCTGCTGCTCCCAAACATCCCTCTCACCTGCTTCCCTCCTTCCTCACCTGCTTCCCTCCTTCCTCACCTGTTTCGCAGCAGCCACCTCGATCTTGGGGTGCAGGGCTGCCAGCATTCTCTGGCTCGCGTCCTCCTCCTCCTCCCCGTCCTGCTCTGAGTTGAACCGTGCCTTGCGCGACCCTGGTGCATACAAGCAGGACAAACGGCAAAAAGGAGAGAAATGAGCGCGCAACCCTCAACACGGTTCCTCTATTTCCACCTCAACCCCCCTCACCTCCTCCTCCCCATCCTGCTCTGAGTTGAACTGTGCCTTGCACGTCCCCAAGAGAGAAGGGGCCTTTGTGTCGCGTTTGACAAGTCTTGAAAGTGACAGGAGAAGCAAGTCAGCTAGCTCCTGTGCATTCACTCGCTTCCCTTCATCTACGCTCACTCCACTCCTCCTCTACTCCCCCCGGCCTCCCCTTCCCCCCGCGCCTTGCTCTGAGTTGAGCCAAGCCGTGCGCTACCCTGGTGGCGACTTTTGAGACGTCTCAAAAGTCTTGCTCTGAGTTGAGCCAAGCCGTGCGCTACCCTGGTGGCGGCAGGGCGGGTAAAGAACGACGCGAGGACAGCGGGGATTCGGGCAGCCATGGCAACGGTACGATCGCCAGGCACCTCCACGCTCCAGCCCTGCCCCTCCCTCGAGATTGCCGCGCCTCAGGACTGAGGGGCAGCACGCACCTGAGGTGTGCGGGGCGCGGACTATCCGGACGGCCATGGCGACAATACGATCGCCGGGCACCACCAGCCGCGCGAGAGTGAATTCCACCAGCGCCTGCCCCTCCCTCGAGATTGCCGCGCCGCCGCCGCTGCTGCTGCTGCTGCCGCCGCCCCACAGGAGATTCGCGTTCGGCTGGTGCAGTCGCACCCCCACCAGAACCACCTTCCCCCCGCCGCCGCTGCTGCTGAGAGCTGTCGGGAGTGAGGTCATGCTGACGAGAGGCAAGAGTGGGAGGGTGGTACGACCGCGGGTACGTGTCGAGAGGTATGTGACGTCACGTGACGTCAAGTGACGTCAGGCTGCTGGAGGCGAGACGTGAGGGGTTGCGGGTGCTATTGAAGGGGGATGATTGACGTCAATTGCATGAGACGGAAGAACAATTTGCCTCTTGAACGAAGGTGATTATGACGAGATTCGTTAGCCGCCGATACCAGTCACAGCGAAAGAGTCGAGGCACGAACGAGGGTGATTGTAACGAAGCCGCGGCGTCGCTAATTTCTTTTACCGAACGACGGCGCTATGGATGGACCAGACAAAAAATGTCGAAATCCACCTTGCGACGAAGATGCTTGACGGTGCAAACACTGGACACGACTCGGTCAACGTTGCCTATATCCTTCCGTCTATTCACGTTTACTAGTGTTCATGAAATAGTTGCAACTGAAATGGCTCGTCTGTACAAGTGTCACCGCCATTTTTGGTCTCAGACACAGCAGGTGCTGTTGGCCGTGTGCGCGCGAGAAAGGTGTCAGGTGAAGGGCGGGTGCAGATTCGCACTAGTCCCGAGAACTACAGTACTTGTGTGTTTGTACCTCGATGAGAAACAAGGGTTCGAGTTTTTTGAGTGTAACAAATTTCGAACCTGGGGTCGCGTTGCTCCTCGCCAAACCATGGTGTTGTCTTTGTGACACAGGCAGCTTAGACTCAAAAGGTTTCGTCACAATTCGCGAAGTATCACGCTGCGAACCCTGACTGGCTCGTACTCAAGGCTTGATCACTGCAGTTTCAGCCCTTCCCTCGCGTCTATCACCCTTCATCGACGGCTAGCAATTGCTGCCGATTAGCGGCACACGTCAGCAAGCACACGACCCAGTCATCCAGCAGTCAGCTGGAAACTCGCTGTGTGTAAATTACCATCGTCAGTGTGTATGTACCGAGCAGCACCGTGGTGAAATTTCAGCAAATCAAGGAGCTGATCTGGAACCTCCAAGGACATTCGTCTCTGGACTGGAGTCTGGACACGGCCTGAGTTCGCATAAAAGTCAGGTGACAACCCAGAGATGGAAAAAGCCCATTGATATTTTCTCCCACCATGGATCCTGACTGGAGCTGACGCGCGAGGTACGCTAGCTCGCAACCCGAGCCGTCGGTTTGGGAGAAATCTCTCGCGTTTTTTTCACGACTCGCCTCTTACTTTGCAAAGTTCGGCTTCATGGCGGACCCATAGGATTTTCTGGGTGATTAAATGTTCCATATTCCGGCTCGGAAAATTAGGGTTTCCTCATGACGACAACTAGCACAGCCAGTGACGGCTGATATTTTTAAGAAACCGAAACGGGTCGGTCCCGCTATAAGCGTTTACATTTCTAGTGCAGTTTCTCTATTTCAACTACCGGATCGATTAGCGGAGCTTTCCCAGGCCTGGTTGGCGTCGTAGCAACTTTGTCGCCACTTAGGTCAGTGCTCTACCGATCTGAGTTCGAGCTCTCGTGGTTAAGTGCGGTCTAGCTGTCTTTCTCAGTTCCCGTCTCCGTTTCGGTCTGTCACAACCGAACCTTGCATGAGGGCCGGGCGACGTCGGGCGACTTAGGCGACGCATGCGACGTAGGCGACGACGGTAGAGAGCGATGCTGAGCGTGCTGCGAGTGCATCTGCCGTCGGACATCCCGATCGCGGGGTGCGAGCTGTGCCCGTACGTGCTGCTACGCAAGCCCGATGGCACAATCACCACGGAGGACATTCCCGACACCAACCCCATCGATGGCTACTACATCCGCTGCCGCTGGTACGAGTGATGCGTGCGTTGAATGCGTTGACTTCGTTGACTGCGTTGACTGCTGTGCCCGTACGTGCTGCTACGCAAGCCCGATGGCACCATCACCACGGAGGACATTCCCGAAACCAACCCCATCGATGGCTACTACATCCGCTGCCGCTGGTTCGTTGACCTCGTTGACTGCGTTGAATGAATGGAATGCGTTGACTTCGATGAATGAATTGACTTTGAGTCGACTAAAAAAACCAAGGCGTTCCCGACACCAACTCTGTCGATGGCTTCTGCATCCGCTGCCGCTGGTACGGGGATTGTGATGAATGCGTTGATAGCGTTGACTCCCAGGTGCCATTATCAACCCCATTCCACCGCACCACCCCATCTCCCCCTCCCCATCTCCCCCCTCCCCTTCCTACCTCCCAGGTACCGCGTGCAGAGCGACAAGCGAGTCGCCGTGTGTTCAGTGCACGGCAATGAACCCGCCACTCTCCAGTGCCTGGGGTGCGTGAAGGCCAAGCTGCCCATCGCGCGTAGCTACCACTGCTCGCCGCTCTGCTTCCAGGCCGCCTGGCCGCGCCACCGCGCGCTGCACTCGCGCGGCCTCGGCGGAAGCACCCATGGCAGCAGCGACGGGACTCTCCCGGGGGAGATAACCTCGGGGGGGGCTGCTGTGGGGGGCGCGGGGGGGGTTGGCGGGGCGCAGAGGCGGGAGAACGGCGCGACGGCGGAGGAGGAGGAGCTATTTGGGAAGTTCAACAGCGGGAATGGGACCACGGGGCTGGCGGGAGCGGGGGGAGCACAGGGGGGCATGGGGAACGGCGCGCCTGGAGGGGGGTACGGGCAGGGGGAGCAGCAGCCGGGAGGGCAGCAGCAGGGGATGCAGGGTATGCAGCGGCCGATGGGGGGGGGATTCGCGCACAGGCCGCCAGGGGGCCTCGCGTACCAGTCTGACACCACTGGAGGGGGTTCCAACGCTAGTGGTGGCGGCAGTGGGGAGGTGTGGTTTGAAGTGGGCCGGGGGAAACCCTACACGCCCACCACAGACGACGTAGGGCACGTGCTCAAGCTCGAATGCGTCCCCATAGAAGCCGCCACTGGGCTCCCCGTCGCGCCCCCCTCCACCCTCCTCACCTCCCGGGTCATCCCCGCGCCCTCCCCCACCCCCCGGCGGATGGTCCCTGTGGGGGGCGCGGAGGGGGAGATGGGGGGAGGCGCGCGCGGAGGGGGAGGGGGGGGCTTCACGGTGCTGTCATACAATGTGCTGGCGGACCTGTATGCGACGAGTGAGATGTACAGCTACTGCCCGCCCTGGGCGCTCTCGTGGGCGTACAGGAAGCAGAACTTGTTGAGGGAGCTGCTGGGGTATCGGGCGGATATCATGTGCTTGCAGGAGGTACGTGTGGTTCCTGCAACGAGTGTGAGTGTGCTTGTAACGAGAGGACCTGTATGCGACGAGTGAGATGTACAGACTACAGCTACTGCCCGCCCTGGGCGCTGTCGTGGGCCTACAGGAAGCAGAATCTGTTAAGGGAGATGCTGGAGTATCAAGCTGACATCATGTGCTTGCAGGAGGTGAGTGCGTGTGCTTGTAACGAGAGGGAGTGTGCTTGTAACGAGAGTGGGGGCAGTGGGCACGGAAGGGCTTCATGGTGCGGTTCTGTCATACAATGTGCAATCATCTTGTACAAGTTCTCCGGGCCTGAGCTCAATGGCGCGATGAATTTAAACTCTCTCATACAATCCCTTTCCCCGCTCCCCGCTCCCCTCCACCCCCCTCCCCTGTTTACGATTTGCAGGTGCAGAGCGACCACTTTGAGGAGTTGTTTGGGCCCGAGCTGCCCGAGCTCAATGGTGCTGTAGTGTGCACCGCACTCCACTCCACTCCACACCTCTCATGCAATCCCCTCCTCCCTCCCCCCCCCCTCCCTTCAACAACCTTCAGGTGCAGAGCGACCACTTGGAGGAGTTGTTTGGGTCCGAGCTGGAGAAGCAGGGGTACGCAGCGAGCAGGTGTTTGGACGGCTTTGTGAGGATCCCAATGGCAATCCAAGTCTCTTCACACACTCCCCTTCCTCCCTGCAATTCCACCTCCCCCTCTCTGCCCAATCAAACCAAGTGCAGGTGCAGAGCGACCACTTTGAGGAGTTCTTTGGGCCCGAGCTGGAGAAGCAGGGGTACGCGTCCGTGTTCAAGAAGAAGACCGCCGAGGTGCGTGGGTGGCGTGCTGCTTGCTCCCTGTGGTGTGGTGTGTGCGGCATTCGGGCTTGAGTAGTCCAGACACAGCGAGGAGGAGACGCAGGGGTACGCGTCCGTGTTCAAGAAGAAGACCGCCGAGGTGCGTGGGTTGCTGTGGCTGGCTCCCTGGTGCGTGGTGAGTGGGATTGGAGCTGGAGTGTGAATGCAGCGAGCTGAAGAAGCAGGGGTACGCGTCCGTGTTCAAGAAGAAAACTGCTGAGGTGCGTTGCTTGCTGCTTGTGATGGTGTGGTGTGGTGTGGTGTGGTGTGGTGCGGTGCGGTGCAGTGTAGTGTGGTGCGGTGTGGTACCGACTGCTGCTCATGGCCTTGAGGAAGGACCTGAACGCGCAAGACAAGAGAGGCTGTGTTGAGTAGGAAGGCATTCGAGGTGTTCTGCTTCTTTCACGGTGAGAATGGAGTTGTGGTGTTGTGGTGTGTTAGTGGTGTGTTGTGGTGTGTTGTGGTGAGTCGACTCAACAGCTACCATGCCCCCTCCCTGTCGCATCCTCCCCTCTCCCCCCCCACCCCCCAGGTATACACGGGCACGGCCTACGCCATAGACGGCTGTATTAAGACGTGCCGTGCCGCTTGTCCCCTTCCCGTCCCCTCCCACTCCCCGGCCCCCCACCCCCCAGGTATACACGGGCACGGCCTATGCCATAGACGGCTGTGCCACCTTCTTCCGCCGCGACCGCTTCTCCCTTGTCAAGAAGTACGAGGTGCGTGGCCGAGTGGGGGGGAAGGTGGGGATGAGTGCTGGGGGGAGCCCTGTGTGTGGTGTGAGTGAGGGGGGAAGAGACCTGCTTCTCCCTCGTCTAGAAGTAGGAGGTGCAGTGCGTGCATGCTGAGGAAAGGGGGCGGGGTGAGAGGTGCGTGTCGCCCGCGCCTCTGGGGACGGGGGAGGCAGAGGGGTGAGTGAGAGGTGCACAGCCGGGGGTGAGAGGTGTATGAGGTGCGGCTTTAGGAGGCGGGGGGTAATGGGGGGGCAAAAAGAGGTGCAGAATGAGCAAGGGGATGAAATGCTGCCTCTCGTTTGATGTGCGTGTTGGTTTGTGATGCGACTCAAACATTCCGCTTCTCCCTCTGCAAGAAGTATGATGTGCGTATTGTGGGGGTGCGTGGTTGTCACGAGTGGCTGTTGTTATGAACGCTGGCTGGATTGGTTGAGTGCTGGGAGGGGTTGAACGCTGGGGTGAGGTTGGGTGAGCGCATTCCTCTCATCTCTCCTTCACATCTCTCCCTCACCTCTCTCTCACTCTCTCTCTCACTCTCTCTCTCACTCTCTTTCTCACTCTCTCACAGGTGGAGTTCAACAAGGCAGCGCTATCGCTCTCTGAGGCACTCGCACCTCCCACCAAGAAGGCAGCTCTCAACCGCTTGCTCAAGGTACACTTGCTGTTACGGTGTTACCTCTCCCGTCCTTGCTTCCACGGTACACCTGCATCCCTGTATCACACACCCACCGCCCACCCACCCACTGAGAAGGCCGCGCCCATCCACCTGCTCGGGGTTGGGGGGACAATGATATCAATGCTTGCACTCCTTTCTTTCCTACCACCCCACCTCCACCCCCACACACACCCTCACCTCCGCCCCTTCCCGCCAGGGCAACGTGGCACTGACAGTGGTGCTAGGGGCGCGGGACGCAGGCGGGCTCACATGTTGTCACCACATGGGCTCCTGTCACTCATGCTCCCACCACCCCCACTCCCACGCACACCTACCACCCCCACGCCCACGCCCACGCCCACCCCCACGCCCACCCCCACGCCCACCCCCACGCCCACACGGCCACACCCACCCCTTCCCGCGAGGACAATGTAGCGCTGATCGTGGTGTTAGGGGCGTTGGGGTGGATCCTCACATGCTGCCCGCACTCGTGCTGCTGTTACTCACACTCCCACCTCCCCCACTTCCTCCCTTTCCCCCTTCCCGTCAGGTCAACGTGGCGCTGATAATGGTGCTAGAGGCAAGGGACGCAGGGGGGGCTCATTTGCTGTCAACGCATGCACGCCTTTCTCCTCTTTCCCCGTACCAATCCCACCTCCTCCCCTCCCCTCCCTTCCCCTCCCCTCCCTTCCCCTCCCCTCCCTTCCCCTCCCTCTGCCTCCAGGACAACGTGGCACTGATAGTGGTGTTAGAGGCGAGGGACGCAGGGGGGGCTTATTTGCTGCGAGCACATGTGCTCCTGCCACTCATGCTCGCACCCCACCCCCACCCACCTCCTACCACTCCCAACCCCACCCACCAGGACAGCGTGGCACTGATAGTGGTGTTAGAGGCGAGGGACGCAGGGGGGGTTCACATACTGTCAGCGCATGTGCTCCTGTCACGCACCTCCTCCCCTTCTCGCCCACTGTCACCTCCCACCAGGACAATGTAGCACTGATTGTGGTGCTAGAGGCGAGGGATGCAGGGGGGGCGGATGGGAAGGACGGGGCTAATGCGCCTCCTGCCAAGAGACAGCTGCTCTGTGTGGTGAGATGCGGTGCTGTGTGGTGAGACACGGTGCTGTGCACATGCAGTCTTGTTCACTTCAGAGATGCCTAAAAACTGAAATTGTATGTTCTCCTATGTTGCGACCTGCTGTTGTTTGCTTCTATCTGCTTTCGTCTCGTTGCCAACTTTCCTATGCTTTCATTCATGCATTGTCATATGCATTCATATGCCAACATGTGCCGTGACGTGCCAACACATGGCCCTCCCCTCCACCCTCCCCATCAGGCCAACACGCACATCCACGCCAACCCAGAACTCAAGGACGTGAAGCTGTGGCAGGTGAGGGATGAGGGAGGGGAGGGAGTGCAAGGCACTTGGGTTGCATGTGGCGTGGTGTGAACCAGAGTGCCTGCCGGGGCAGGCATGGTACAGACAGGGTAGGGCATCCGCGGTAACCCAGAGCTCAAGGATGTGAAGCTGTGGCAGGTGAGGGACGAGGGGGGAGGATGCAATGTGTGGCGCATGTGTTGACTTTTGAGAATTCTCAAAAGTCACTCCAATATAGTGTGGAGACATAGTGGCTGGAAGCTAGGGAGTAGGCTAGGCATGGCCTAACACGCACATCCACGCCAATTCTGAGCTTACAGACGTCAAGCTGTGGCAGGTGAGAGATGAAGGAGGGAAAGGGTTGCAAGATGTGGCACATGTGCTCTGGTGTGGGGACAAGGTAGCTGAAGGTTAGGGGGTAGGCTTGGCATGGTACAACACGCACATCCACGCTAACCCTGAACGCAAGGACGTGAAGCTGTGGCAGGTGAGGAAACGTCACCTCCCTGCTCTCTCCTTCCTCTCCCCCTCTTCTTCTTTCCAGACCTCTACCTCTCCTCTCTCCTATGCTGGTTTTAATACATCGTAGGACCGCATCTCTTATCAAACCGCCTTTCCTTCTCATGACGACCAAGTTGGAGAAGATGCAGCCATCTCCAACTCAGTCCAGATTCTCATGGCTTCCATGCTCGATTTCATATAATACCCCGCCATCTTACCTTCTCAAGATGACCGTTCCTTCTCCCCCCTTCCCCCCCCCCCCCGGCCAGGTGCACACGCTGCTCAAGGGCCTGGAGTAGATCGCTGCCAGTGCGCACATCCCCGTGGTCGCTCTGAGCCATTACCCAACTGTCTTCCCTTCTCGCAACGACCTTTCCTTCTCTCCCTCCTCCCCTCCCCCCCCACCAGGTGCACACGCTGCTCAAGGGCCTGGAGAAGATCGCAGCCAGTGCGGACATTCCCATGCTGGTGGCAGGGGACTTCAACAGCGTGCCTGGCAGGTGGGGCTTGACAGCAGGTGTGTCGATCTGGTGAGCTTTAAGACAGCAGGTTTGTGGCTTCAGCAGCAGGTGGGCTCTGATCTGATCCATCCCAAAGCAGCCAGTGCGGATATCCCCATGCTGGTGGCGGGGGGCTTCAACAGCGTGCCTGGCAGGTGGGCCTCGAGGCTGGGGGTAGATGGTGGGTGAATTGAGAGAGGGAACGTTGAAGCTTTAGCAGTGTGCTGGGCAGTTGAGGTTTGTGGGAGGAAAGGTGTTGGCATAGCCAGTGCAGACATCCCCATGCTGGTGGCGGGGGACTTGAACAGCGTGCCGGGCAGGTGAGGTTTGGGACTTCAAGAACGCCTGGTAGGTGAGGGGGAGGAAGAAAGGGGGTGTTGGGGGAGATAAGGAGGGTGGTGGGAGGAACGGAGCTAAGCAGCAGCATTTTGTCCTTCCACGTTGTGTCTCCCATTTTCCTCTCAAGATCTCCCTATGTCTCCCTCATCCCTCTCCCCTGCCCTCTTCTTTCGTTCCCCCCCACCCCTCGCCCCACATGCAGCGCGCCCCACTCACTGCTCGCCACAGGGCGAGTCGATGCCAACCACCCAGAGCTCGCCACTGACCCTCTCGGCATCCTGCGCCCCGCTTCTAAGCTTTGCCACCAGCTGCCGCTGGTATGTCTGCTGCTGGTGGTATGGCGGCCGTGTAACGTTGTTACCAGCGTTAATTGGTCTCCTCAGCCTCGCCACCTACCCTCTTTGCATCCTGCGACCCGCCTCCAAGCTCTGCCACCATTTGCAGCGAGCCCCTCTCTGCGTGCTCTCTGTCTTCTTTCCCCGTCCTTTCTATCTCCCGCTCTCACAGGTCAGTGCATACGCATCGTTGAGCCGCGGCGGCTCGGTGGCGGAGAGGCAGCGGCGGCGCATGGACGCGAGCAGCAGCGAGCCGCTGTTCACAAACGTGACTCGGGATTTCATGGGCACGCTGGACTACACCTTCTATACCGGTGCGTGCTGTGAGCATACACTGTAGTGTGGAAGCATGTTACACCTATTCGAGCAGCAGCAGCAGCAGCAGCGAGCTGCTGTTCACCAACGTGACTCGCGACTTCATGGGGATGCTGGACTACACCTTCTATACCGGTGAGGGGGTGACAGATTGGTCTCTGCTGTTGTGCTACACCCGTGTGTGTTGTGAGCACACCGTAGTGCGGCAACACCTTGCCCCTATCCGAGCAGCCGCGAGCCGCTCTTCCCGAACGTGACTCGTTACTTCATGGGCACTCTGGTCCACAGCTTCTATACCAGTACAGGGGTGGGTGGGTGGGTACTGTGAGCATACGGTAGCGTGGCAACCAGGCCTGTCGAAGTTCCTGGGGCCCATACTTGGAGTCCCCAGCTCCTCCCTATCTGACCTTGTATTGGCCGTACCTGAGTGTTTTGGCGCCCTTAACGGTCACGGGCGCAGGCCAAAGTGAAAACTTGATATCCGGGCTTGCACTTACACTATTTTAGCTAAGGGAAAGTTCGGCTGCTCCAAAGCTGACTTAGAGATATCACAAACACGGGATTGGCTAGAAAACGCTAAGGGAAAAATCCCCTTGGCACGCTCTCATGCAACCTAAGGAGAAACGGGGGGGTGGGAGTGAGGGGGTCAGGCAGAATTTCTTGGGGGGGGGGGTATCCTAGAACCGGAAATCAAAACTTTGTGGGTGGGGAAGGCCTGGTTGGAGCACTTAACGCATCCGGGGAAGGGTTGAACAAAGCACTTGGTGGCACGGGTACAGGGCGATCCTAACACTTTATGCAGTCGAGCTGGAGCAAAAGTAGCCCGGAATTTCAGGGCATTAAGGGCATATGCCCGTCAATCGACAGGCCTGGTGGCAACAAGTTATACCTATTTACGCAGTAGCAGTGAGCTGCTGGGTGGGCTGCTGCCATCTCCCATCTCTTCCCCTCTTCTCCCTCTCCTCCCATTCCTTCCCCTTATCAGTCAAGTCGGTGCTGGAGCTACTGGACGAGGACAGTGTGCGCAAGGACACAGGGCTGCCGCCCCGTGTGTGCGTGTAACTTACTGGGTGTCACTTCCTTTCTTTTCCCCCTCACACACACATTGCAGCCGACTCCCTGTCAGTGGAGTCAGTGCTGGAGCTGCTGGATGAGAACAGTGTGCGCAAGGACACGGTGCTGCCCTCCCAGTCCTTCATCTGTGTACCTCCACTCCCTTTCCCCTCATTCCCTTTTCTTCTCCCCTCACTGCAGCCGACTCCCTGTCTGTCGAGTCTGTTCTCGAGCTACTAGACGAGGACAGTGTGCGCAAGGACACAGCACTGCCGTCCCCCGAGTGGTCGTCCGACCACCTGGCGCTGCTCACTGAGTTCAGATACAAGCCCCGCATGCGCCGGTAGAGGAGAGGCTTATAAAGGGTACAGAACGGACTACTTTTGAGATGTCTCAAAAGCCTTATAAAGGGTACAGAACGGAGAGAGTGTGGTCCAGGGATCACCTCGCACTGCTCACCGAGTTCAGTTACAAGCCCCAGATGCGGCGGTAGAGGGGATGCTTGTAAGGGGTACAGCTTGGACACAGAACGGTCCTTGAACCACCTTACCCTGTTCACGGAGTTCCGATACAAGCTCAGGGTGATGCGGTAAAGGGGACGCTTATAGAGGGTACAGCTGGGCGATAGGGTCGTGGTTGAACCACCCTGTCCGCTGACAGAGTACAAGTGCAAGGCCACTTTAGGGTGGTCAAGGGGAAACTTCTAGAGGGTACATTCCAGCCCAAGATGGTTTCCCTCTGGCTGAACTACAAGGCAGGCTGATATGCCATATAGGGTACGGGGTGTACATGCAGGTGCAGGTACAAATACAGATGCAGCTGGATGAGACAAGAGGAAAAGGTGAAAGGGTGCTGGCTGGTGATCGTATGCAGCGTAGCTGTAAGGTGCTGTGCGGTGCTGTGCGATGACACAGCTCATTGGCGTGTGGTGCCCTGTGGTAGCCGCGTCGGTGTTTTAAAACCAAGCGTTGCCCATAGGAGGTTGGGTGGGTTGCTGCCGCGGCTTCCAATATGAGTGCGGACGGGAAGCCAGTAGCTACTGTACGCTGGATGGTGCTGGCAGTGGGAGAGGAACATTAGCATTTGCAACGCAATGCCCAGGCGTGAGCAGGTGGGCTGGCTGCTGGCAGGCCCAACTTGTTATAACTCGCAGCACCATAAGAGAAGGAAGCATGCAAATGAAGTGTGAAAGCATGAGATCATGTGAAAGCATGAGATCATGTGAAAGCAAAGCCCTGAAGTTGAGGGAGGGGCACTGATGACACGCAAGTACGGTACAGGGCCACAAGACTGGACACGTCATACGACACTCCATTGAGAGGAAGTGATGGTTCGCTGGACTGCTATCAGTTGAGACTAGATGCGACTCTCATTGGACATCATTCATTGGCAGTGGCATGGCTGCGGGTAATGCCGCTTCAGAGTGACACACATACGATACAATGCTTGTGGTCACCAAAATTGTGAAGTGCTAGCTCTTATGTAGAGCGGCAGAGATGAGAAGGCTGGTTATCCTTCATTTGTAAGTATTTCATAATAACAACAAAGAGAACTGTTTTGCAGGAAACTCAACTTGCGGGAAGCTTGTTTTAATTCCTACGTACAGCACATACTCGCTTCAGTGCTCGCTTCCAGCACGAAGTGGCATTGATACATCGCGCTCCAGCCCAAGCCCACCACCTTCTGAAATCTCTGACGATGGCGGCAAGCTTGGCACAGCGCGCCGCTTTCACGTCTTCTCCGATCGCCGAACCGCATTCAGCATGCAGATCGCGCCGCTCATCGCTGTCTGCGCGTTCCAGCCGATTACATGTTGCGTCGAGCCCCCCTGCTCGCAGCTCCAATGCTATCGCCCCATCCTCTCGCACTGCCTTCCACAGCGGAAACGAGCTTTGCTCGCGAGGCCTCGTGTCGGCATCTCGTTCTAATCACAGCGGTTTTGGTCACGTGCTACCAGGGAGAGCGTGTGTGAGCACGCATGGGGGAGCGAAGAGTTCGCGCGGGGTTGTGAGAGCAGCGGATTCGGCCGGATCATCCCAAGCCAAGCAGGAATATTCTGTACGATTCTCATTATTTCGTTTTGAGTTCCTCCTCATGATCAGTAAACGGAGAATATACCGGTAGTTGTTTCCACGACGTTTCGAAGTGTTTGTGCTGTCTCTGCTGCTGGTGTTGCAGTCGGGCTTCATTGCTTGACCCCTGCTTGTACCCAAAACCCTGTACCTTGTACCCGCTCACTCTTTTCCCGCCCCCTTTCCGCTGCAATGTGAGCCTCTTCAAAGCTCATAATTCCAAACTTCCGCTTTCCCCGCACCTCCTATTTCTGTGCCCCTCCTCCTGCCTCCCCCGTTCCCGCCCTCCACTCTCCCACCCATCCCCTCCCAGCCCAAGGTCAAGAGACCCTCTGTGAAGAAAGGGGAAGACGGCTGCCAAGCACGAGTTATTTTCTGCCCCCCATTCCCCTCTCTTCCCCCTACCCTCACCCCCCTAATCCTCCCGCTTCACAGACAAAGGACCCACTCACCCCCTTCTCCGCCCCCTTTCCCCTTCTCCCCTTGCCCCCCATCCTCTTTCTTCCTCCCCCCCCCCCAAGTTCACGGACGAAGTACCGTCCGTGGAAATCCGCATTCCCATCCTCTTTAGATCCATACCCCTCTTCCCTCCCACCCTCCCCCCAACCCCCCCCCCCCCCCCCCCCCCTTTCCCCTCTCTCCTCCCAACCATTTCACAGGCGAAGGACCGACCGTGGAGGTCCGCGTCCCCAGCCCCTTTCCCCCCACATTCTCCCCAGTTAGCCCCTTTTTCCCCCTTCCCTCCCCTCCCCTCCCCTCCCCTCCCCCTCCCCCCCCGCCCCCACAGTTCACGGACGAAGGACCCTCTGTGGAGGTCCGCGTGCCCATCCCTGCTGCGCTCCGGCCAATCCAGGCACGCCACGTGGCGGTGAGCGTGCAGGAGGACGCGCTGTCGGTGGCTGTGACGCCGCCAGCTGGCTTCGGGAGCAAGGAGGGCGCTGTGAAGGGCAAGGAGGGGCGGGAGCGGTCGCTGGTGGTGGCGAGTCCGCTGTATGGGCGAGTGAAGGCCACTGATAGTGCATGGTGAGTATCGTTTGGTGGGCAGACAATGCTGTCAGTATGGTGGGCATTAGTGGTTTCGCCAGGGAAAGCTATAAAGCTATCACTCCCCCCTTCGTTTACTCGAATGCGCTTGGAAGGGCGCACAGAATCTGTCACCGGCATTGTGCTCTTTGTTTCTTCCTTCCCTACTTTTGAAGCGCCTCAACATCTTTCCTACCCCTCGGTTCATGGACAGGCTCTAACTAGCTCGAATACCCCTTTCCCTCACTCCCTCCCAGGTACATTGACGACACAGATATTGTAATCACACTCTTTAAACACCCGCAACCTTCCTCCTCCTCCTCTGCACCTTCCGAGCCTGTCTTCCAGGCCTGGCCAACCCTGATCAAGGGCTGGGAGGCACTGGCAGGGGCGGTGGCCAATCAGCTGAAGAGCTGTTCCGTGCTGCTGGTGGGCGGCAGCACTCGTCTCAATGCAGCCGTTGCTGCAGAGCTGGCCACAGGGCTTGGGTGAGTTGCGCCTTGGCCTTAAGGTTTGTTTTTTACCTTAGTCAGTTGGTTTTTTTCAGGCATAAGTCCGTTTCCTTGCATTTGCTCAAGGTAGAAAAGGCCGTTTCTCGTTGTTGGTTCACAAAGGAAAGTGCATGCTTGGTGTGCCGTGCCATTGTCTAGTTTGCATACCTCAAAATGGCAACCGTTTGGTTAAGGTAAGGTTGTTGCTCGTCCTCATACCCTGCATCTGTCGCAAGTTGCATACAAAAGAATAACATGTACCTTCTAATAGTTCTCAAAATCTGGCGTATAGAAGCAACTGTTACCATGTAGCTAATACAGATGTAGCACGTACGTTACAACTTGTGTATTTTTCATGTTTCTTATGGTCCTGCCCAATTTCAGCTATGCACCAATCATGACTCAGCAACTGGTGGAGCAACTAGCAAGTGCCACCATTGACGAAGGTGCGTTACCCTGTAACCCTGTATGCACTGCAATGCTAGATGTGTTAACACTGGTGTTTCGTGTCAGTGGATTTGTGTCTTTGACTTGGTCTCCTGCATTCGTTTCACTCCACATGCACGATACAGCCCATCTCTGTATGCAATGTGCGGTCTATCCATGGCGCCATGGCAAGTGCATGTTCTTTCCTTGCAGCACCTGTTTCGATGCCACCTGATTTCGCCCACATGACAGTTCCCGCATGAAATAGCCAACCACTTGGACTTGCCCTTGCCCGTGCCCTCCCTTGATGCACTGACTTTTATGCCTCACTGCTTCACCTCTCCATCCATCCCGGGCCCCCTTGCTCACACACCCCCCACATTGCCAGTGGCAAGGGAAGAGGGGCTGGACTCAGTGGCTCAAGCCGAGACTGCTCTCTTGGATCACCTCTCCTCGTACGTACCCTCCATTCTGCCTTGTTTAGAATATCCATAAGTCAATCCGTTAGAAGCAATCTTCCTGAATCAACCTCTCCCGTCACCGCTGCACTCCTCCTATTAGTCTCTCCACTCGGGAGAATTGAGCAATCTCTGTGTAGTGGTAACCACCATGGGCCAGCCCTGCAGTGTGTGCGCCATGGGCCAGCCCTGCAGTGTGTGCGCCATGGGCCAGCCCTGCAGTGTGTGCGCCATGGGCCAGCCCTGCAGTGTGTGCGCCATGGGCCAGCCCTGCAGTGTGTGCGCCATGGGCCAGCCCTGCAGTGTGTGCGCCATGGGCCAGCCCTGCAGTGTGTGCGCCATGGGCCAGCCCTGCAGTGTGTGCGCCATGGGCCAGCCCTGCAGTGTGTGCGCCATGGGCCAGCCCTGCAGTGTGTGCGCCATGGGCCAGCCCTGCAGTGTGTGCGCCATGGGCCAGCCCTGCAGTGTGTGCGCCATGGGCCAGCCCTGCAGTGTGTGCGCCATGGGCCAGCCCTGCAGTGTGTGCGTACTCACACCCTGCTGCCTCTCTAGGATGAATCCCATGTACTCCCGCTTCTCACCCCATCATCCCGTTATATACCAGTTACTCGCAGCATTTATGGCTACAACAATCTCTGTGTGGTGGTTGCCACTATGGGGCACATGGGGCACATGGGGCATATGGGGCACATGGGGCATATGGGGCACATGGGGCACATGGGGCACATGGGGCAGATGGGGGCAGATGGGGGCAGATGGGGGCAGATGGGGCGTCACAGCAAGCTCACGCCCTTTGCCCATCTGCAGTGCCGAAACCCCCATAAACCCTTCACTCCCTCCCCTTCCCCGCAGCAACCATGAGCCAGCCCCTACAGGGCGGCAGCTGAACTGTCATGCTGCACTGCACCCAACCCCATATATACACTCTCCACTCCTCTTGACCGCATGCTACCCCGCAGAGCCCTCCTAGTGGTGGTTGCCTTGCCACCATTGGCTAGCCGTACGGTGTGGTGTTGCAGGCTGCCACCTAACCTAACCCATACCCACACTCCCCCCCCCACCTCACTTTTGAGTTGACTCAAAAGCTAACCCATACCCACCCTCTCCCCCCCCTCACCTTTGCCCCTTTCACCTGAACCTCCCTCCCCTGCAGCAATCTGTATGTGGGGGTTGCTACTGTGGACCAGCCTCAGGGGGCGTCTCTGCAGGCCAGCAGCTGAGACTCCGCACTCAGTCTCTGCAGGCCAGCAGCTGAGACTCCGCACTCAGTCTCTGCAGGCCAGCAGCTGAGACTCCGCACTCAGTCTCTGCAGGCCAGCAGCTGAGACTCCGCACTCAGTCTCTGCAGGCCAGCAGCTGAGACTCCGCACTCAGTCTCTGCAGGCCAGCAGCTGAGACTCCGCACTCAGTCTCTGCAGGCCAGCAGCTGAGACTCCGCACTCAGTCTCTGCAGGCCAGCAGCTGAGACTCCGCACTCAGTCTCTGCAGGCCAGCAGCTGCGACTCCGCACTCAGTCTCTGCAGGCCAGCAGCTGAGACTCCGCACTCAGTCTCTGCAGGCCAGCAGCTGAGACTCCGCACTCAGTCTCTGCAGGCCAGCAGCTGAGACTCCGCACTCAGTCTCTGCAGGCCAGCAGCTGAGACTCCGTACTCAGTCTCTGCAGGCCAGCAGCTGAGACTCCGCACTCAGTCTCTGCAGGCCAGCAGCTGAGACTCCGCACTCAGTCTCTGCAGGCCAGCAGCTGAGACTCCGCACTCAGTCTCTGCAGGCCAGCAGCTGAGACTCCGCACTCAGTCTCTGCAGGCCAGCAGCTGAGACTCCGCACTCAGTCTCTGCAGGCCAGCAGCTGAGACTCCGCACTCAGTCTCTGCAGGCCAGCAGCTGAGACTCCGCACTCAGTCTCTGCAGGCCAGCAGCTGAGACTCCGCACTCAGTCTCTGCAGGCCAGCAGCTGAGACTCCGCACTCAGTCTCTGCAGGCCAGCAGCTGAGACTCCGCACTCAGTCTCTGCAGGCCAGCAGCTGAGACTCCGTACTCAGTCTCTGCAGGCCAGCAGCTGAGACTCCGCACTCAGTCTCTGCAGGCCAGCAGCTGAGACTCCGCACTCAGTCTCTGCAGGCCAGCAGCTGAGACTCCGCACTCAGTCTCTGCAGGCCAGCAGCTGAGACTCCGCACTCAGTCTCTGCAGGCCAGCAGCTGAGACTCCGCACTCAGTCTCTGCAGGCCAGCAGCTGAGACTCCGCACTCAGTCTCTGCAGGCCAGCAGCTGAGACTCCGCACTCAGTCTCTGCAGGCCAGCAGCTGAGACTCCGCACTCAGTCTCTGCACTCAGCCCCACCAATAAACACTCCCCTCCCCTGCAACCCTCCTTCCCCTACAGTAATCTGCGAGTGGTGGTGGCCACCATGGGGCAGCCCTGCGGGGTGTCACTGCAGGCTCACAGCTGAGCCTTAACTGCCATACTTGACCGCATACATAAACTCCCCACTCCTCTTAACCGCATTCTCCCCCCGCAGCAACCTGCGGGTGGTGGTGGCCACCATGGGGCAGCCCTGCGGGGTGTCACTGCAGGCTCACAGCTGAGCCTTAACTGCCATACTTGACCGCATACATAAACTCCCCACTCCTCTTAACCGCATTCTCCCCCCGCAGCAACCTGCGGGTGGTGGTGGCCACCATGGGGCAGCCCCACGGGTCTCTCTAAGGACTGACAGCTGAGCCTCAGCTGCTGCACTTAACCCCACTAAGGAACTCCTCACTCCTCTTAACCACATGGTACCTCGCAGCAACCTCCGAGTGGTGGTGGCCACCATGGGGCAGCCCCACGGGGCGTCGCTGCGGCCCGACAGCTGGCGGTTCATCCACGGAGGAATCGCGCTCTGGCTGGACGTGAAAGGTGGGCGGGGGGGGGGGGGGGGGGTGGGCAGGGGAGGGTGAGATGGGCAGGGGAGGGTGGGATGGGCAGGGGAGGGTGGGATGGGCAGGGGAGGGTGGGATGGGCAGGGGAGGGTGGGATGGGCAGGGGAGGGTTGGGATGGGCAGGGGAGGGTTGGGATGGGCAGGGGAGGGTTGGGATGGGCAGGGGAGGGTTGGGATGGGCAGGGGAGGGTTGGGATGGGCAGGGGAGGGTTGGGATGGGCAGGGGAGGGTTGGGATGGGCAGGGGAGGGTTGGGATGGGCAGGGGAGGGTGGGATGGGCAGGGGAGGGTGGGATGGGCAGGGGAGGGTTGGGCAGGGGAGGGTGGGATGGGCAGGGGAGGGTGGGATGGGCAGGGGAGGGTTGGGATGGGCAGGGGAGGGTTGGGATGGGCAGGGGAGGGTTGGGATGGGCAGGGGAGGGTTGGGATGGGCAGGGGAGGGTTGGGATGGGCAGGGGAGGGTTGGGATGGGCAGGGGAGGGTTGGGATGGGCAGGGGAGGGTGGGATGGGCAGGGGAGGGTGGGATGGGCAGGGGAGGGTGGGATGGGCAGGGGAGGGTTGGGATGGGCAGGGGAGGGTGGGATGGGCAGGGGAGGGTGGGATGGGCAGGGGAGGGTGGGATGGGCAGGGGAGGGTTGGGATGGGCAGGGGAGGGTTGGGATGGGCAGGGGAGGGTTGGGATGGGCAGGGGAGGGTTGGGATGGGCAGGGGAGGGTTGGGATGGGCAGGGGAGGGTGGGATGGGCAGGGGAGGGTGGGATGGGCATGCGTGATTGGGCACTGGCGCTGGTCAATTGGAGAGAGGGCGTTGCTTCAGACAGACAGCTGGCGGGCTCAACCATGGGGGGATTGCTCTGTGCCTGGACGTGAAAGGTGGGTTGGGGAAGGGAAAGAAAAGCTTGAGTGCGTGAAGTTGGGCGCATGTGCATAAGGGCTTGGGGGCATCATTGGGGGCATCATTGGGGGCATCATTGGGGGCATCATTGGGGGCATCATTGGGGGCATCACTGGGGGCATCACTGGGGGCATCACTGGGGGCATCATTGGGGGCATCACTGGGGGCATCACTGGGGGCATCATTGGGGGCATCACTGGGGGCATCACTGGGGGCATCACTGGGGGCATCATTGGGGGCATCACTGGGGGCATCATTGGGGGCATCATTGGGGGCATCACTGGGGGCATCACTGGGGGCATCACTGGGGGCATCACTGGGGGCATCACTGGGGGCATCACTGGGGGCATCACTGGGGGCATCATTGGGGGCATCATTGGGGGCATCATTGGGGGCATCATTGGGGGCATCATTGGGGGCATCATTGGGGGCATCACTGGGGGCATCATTGGGGGCATCATTGGGGGCATCATTGGGGGCATCATTGGGGGCATCATTGGGGGCATCATTGGGGGCATCATTGGGGGCATCATTGGGGGCATCATTGGGGGCATCATTGGGGGCATCATTGGGGGCATCACTGGGGGCATCACTGGGGGCATCACTGGGGGCATCACTGGGGGCATCACTGGGGGCATCACTGGGGGCATCACTGGGGGCATCACTGGGGGCATCACTGGGGGCATCACTGGGGGCATCACTGGGGGCATCACTGGGGGCATCACTGGGGGCATCACTGGGGGCATCACTGGGGGCATCACTGGGGGCATCACTGGGGGCATCACTGGGGGCATCACTGGGGGCATCATTGGGGGCATCATTGGGGGCATCATTGGGGGCATCATTGGGGGCATCATTGGGGGCATCATTGGGGGCATCATTGGGGGCATCATTGGGGGCATCATTGGGGGCATCATTGGGGGCATCATTGGGGGCATCATTGGGGGCATCATTGGGGGCATCACTGGGGGCATCACTGGGGGCATCACTGGGGGCATCACTGGGGGCATCACTGGGGGCATCATTGGGGGCATCACTGGGGGCATCATTGGGGGCATCACTGGGGGCATCACTGGGGGCATCACTGGGGGCATCATTGGGGGCATCATTGGGGGTGGGTGGGCCACAAGGAAGTTGATCCATGGGAAACGTGGGTGGATGCATGGGGAAGATGTGTCGAGCGGCATCAGAGCTGGATATCACATGGAGGGATTGCAGAAGCTTTGCTCCCAACCTTATTCAATCCCCACATCCATCCTCTCAGGAGACTCTGACAGCCTTCCGGACCCTCATTTCTCGGACAGAGCTGACGTGGCGATCAGATTGCACCTGCCAGCTGGCTGGAGCACGGACGACACAGTCAGCGCTGACGTGGCGCGGGCGGCCGCAGAGGGAGCGCTGACAGCTGTCAAAGCGGCATTGGATGCGGATCCCCAACTACCAGGTGAGTGGGAGGGCGAGAGAGGGGGAAAGGTCATAATGTGGGGTCAACTCTTCAGATGCTGACAGCTGTCAAAGCGGCATTGGACACGGATCCCCAGCTACTGAGTGAGAGGGCGAGAGGGGGAAGGGCTTCAAATTCTCACAACAGCATCGAGCATTCCTGATCGCTCCTGAACACTAGGAGAGGGCAGGAGTGTGAAGGGTGGTTGAATGCTTGCAATGCGAAGCCAGCTCTATTCCTGAAACGTCTCAGTGCTGTGTAAGGATGAACCGTCCACTTGCTAGCAGTGCCAGCTGTCAATGCGGCATTGGGAATGGGTCAACAGCGGCCGTGTGAGCAGCATGCAGGAAAGGGAGTTTCTCACAAGGCTGGAGGCTTCTTCAGGCCTTCAATGCACAAGCTATAGCTTCAATGCACAAGCTATAGCTTCAATGCACAAGCTATAGCTTCAATGCACAAGCTATAGCTTCAATGCACAAGCTATACCTTCAATGCACAAGCTATACCTTCAATGCACAAGCTATACCTTCAATGCACAAGCTATACCTTCAATGCACAAGCTATACCTTCAATGCACAAGCTATAGCTTCAATGCACAAGCTATAGCTTCAATGCACAAGCTATAGCTTCAATGCACAAGCTATAGCTTCTTCTGACTTTGGGGGGTCTTCTTCGGGGTGTATAATTTTGTAATGTATCTGTACATGGGTGTCCATGTGTTTGTATCCATGTGCATGTGCATGCAGGGAAGAAGAGCCTGTATGTGAGAATGGGGTGCAGGGGAGACTGGCCTGACCTCATGCCACCAAGCTGGGACCCCAACGCCCAACCAGGCGAAGCAGAAGTTGCAGCCACAGGGGAGGGAAGTGCTTAGGACGAAGAGGCCACACGTGAGAATGGGTGGGTAGGACTGAGAGGCTGGGAGGGATGGGGGCGCAGGGGAGCCTGGCGAGACCTCAGGCCCCCCAGGTGGGATCCCAACGCTCAACCGGGCGGAGCAGAAGCCGTGGGTGAAGTTATAAGGGGTTAGTGCATTGACAATGATAGCGCCGATAGTGGTGCAAATACTAGAGAAATACGGTACAGCATTATTTTCTCATGGGGATTTGTAACAGCGTAGTTAGATATGTGTGTATTCATACTTTTGTGTAAGGCATGGTCTATTGAACGCGTACGGTATTGCTACAAACGGTGGCACCACCATGCCGGATGGAGTGTGGACAAAGGGGCCTCGTTTCAATCACATTCGCTCAGATTCAGGATTGCTTGGGAGCGGAGGAGCAAGGAACGCATGTGAAGTCCACGGCCTTGGTTCCCCTGTGAGGCACAGCCACACACACAACACCAAACAATCAGCTAGTATGTGGACCACAATCAGTAACGTATGTTCTCCCGACGTGGTGGGGAAGGGGGGGAAGCAAGGGTAACTAGAGTGTGCATGTGTGTGTATGGGGTTGATAGTTTAACAAGCCCTCAGAGACATGTAGAAAGGAAGGAGGGAGAGAGGGAAGAGGGGAGCAGCTACCAGTTCTTGTTGTGGTAGGCGAGAATCTTGGAGCCATCAGGGGAGAAAGTGGGGGGAGAGTGGGGCGATGGCAAGTGGTTGGAGGCGGGGGAGTGAGGGGGTGTAGCTTCAAACAGCACGTACCAGTTCTTGTTGTGGTAGGCGAGAATCTTGGAGCCATCAGGGGAGAAGGCCCAGATGAGGCGGTTCACTCCATTGTACTTCACAGGCACGGTCCCATCAGTGCTGTTGCGCACAAACCTGCATTGGAGGGGGCAGGAGGTATAGTTGGGACAGAAGCAGCGCCATGAGAAACAGCAGCAGTGGAGGAGGAGAAGGCCCAGATAAGCTGGCTCACCCCACTGTATCTCACAGGCACAGAGCCGTCGGTGCTGTTGCGTGCAAACCTGCATTGTGGGGGACGGTTAGGGACGGTTAGAGACGGTTGGGGACGGTTAGGGACGTTTGGGGACAGAATCACAGCCGTACAAAATACTTCGAGACGTCTCAAAAGTCGAGAAACAGCAGCAGAGGAGGAGAAGGCCCAGATGAGTCGGTCACGCCATTGCATCTCACAGGCACACAGAGGCATTCGTACTGTTGCTAGGAAACCTGCAGCGATGGGGATGGTTGGGGACAGAGCCAAAGCTGTGACGAATCGTCCCAGATGCTCGAGAGGTTTCAAGATTGACTCATCGATTGACTCAACAACGTCTCACCCTGGAACTTGCTGCGCTCGTCCTCACACCTCCCTCTCACACCTCCCTCTCACACCTCACCTCATGATTGCACCCCTTGCTGTCGAGCTGAACCCAGTCGGTGCAATGGCAAACTTTCTTGACGGTTTCACGGCACTCGCAGCATAGCCGGTTATCCCATAGGCCGCCACAGCTGCTGCTGACTTGGCAGGAGGCGATGCTGACGTGGCGAGGTTCCCAACCACCACGTCAGCAGGGGACATGAAGCCCGTTTTGGACCAGCCCAGGGCGAACCAGCCCTTGTGGGCCCCACTTCTGGCCTTCGCCTCCACCGCTAGAGACAAACTCTGCCGCCCCTGGCGCTTCCAGTGGAGCACAAAGCTGGAGGGGAAGGGGGGAGAGGAGGGATGGGAGGAGGGACGGATATAGGAGGTGTGTTGAACATAGACTATTAATAAGAGGGAGAGGGAGGAGGTGGGAAGGGGATGGGGTTGGCTTGGGGCAGGGTGGGGAGTAGGAAAAAGGCAGGGAGGCATGGTGGTAGGGAGGGAAAACGGGAATACATCAAATGAAGATGAGGCATGGTGGTAGGGACTAGTCTCACCACCGCACACCCACCGCCCACCATAATCACCACCACACACACACGCACACACACCACTAACCAGCCACACACACACTCACACCCTCAGTCACCCACCACACACACACACCACACCCTCAGTCACCCACCACACACACACACCACACTCACCCACCACACACACACACCACACCCACTCACCACACACCCACTACTTTCACGCACTCACCCACCACATGCACACCCGCCCACAGCACACACACTCACCCACCATAGACACACACACACACGCACACCCACCACACTCACCCTTTATCCGCTGAGCTGGTAAAGCCCGGGAGGTCCACTGAGCAGAGCGACGATGCCTTACACGCAGAGGGCTTGGCTTGCCCTTGCCTAGTCAATCCCACCGCTCTCCCACGATCACACACCCACCACCACCGCACTCACCCTTTACCCGTGAGGTCCACTGAGCTGGTGACGACGTGAAGAGTTGATGCCTTGCACGCAGAGGGCTTGCACTCACATGGCTTGCACTCACATGGCTTGCACTCACATGGCTTGCACTCACATGGCTTGCACTCACATGGCTTGCACTCACATGGCTTGCACTCACATGGCTTGCACTCACATGGCTTGCACTCACATGGCTTGCGCTCACATGGCTTGCGCTCACATGGCTTGCGCTCACATGGCTTGCACTCACATGGCTTGCGCTCACATGGCTTGCGCTCACATGGCTTGCGCTCACATGGCTTGCGCTCACATGGCTTGCGCTCACATGGCTTGCGCTCACATGGCTTGCGCTCACGTGGCTTGCGCTCACATGGCTTGCACTCACATGGCTTGCACTCACATGCTTGCGCTCACATGGCTTGCGCTCACATGGCTTGCACTCACATGGCTTGCGCTCACATGGCTTGCGCTCACATGGCTTGCGCTCACATGGCTTGCGCTCACATGGCTTGCACTCACATGGCTTGCACTCACATGGCTTGCGCTCACATGGCTTGCGCTCACATGGCTTGCGCTCACATGGCTTGCGCTCACATGGCTTGCGCTCACATGGCTTGCGCTCACATGGCTTGCGCTCACATGGCTTGCACTCACATGGCTTGCGCTCACATGGCTTGCACTCACAGAGCTTTCACTCACAGGGCTTGGCTTGCATATGTTTATCAAGCCCACTGCACTCACTCAAATGTCGCAACCACCACGACTCCCTCACCCACCACACACACGCACCCTTTACCCGTGAGGTCCACTGAGCTGGTGAAGCCGGGGAGGGTCGATGCCTTGCACGCAGAGGGCTTGCACGGGGGAGGAGATGGCGGAGGGGACGGCTTGGGGGAGGGCTTGGGGGAAGGCTGGGGTGCGGGCTTCGGGGATGGCTTGGGGGAAGGTTTTGGGGATGGTTTGGGGGATGGCTTGGGGGGAGGAGGAGGGGGGGTGGGCGCGGGGAGACACGAGAAGTCCACAGCTTTACCGCCCCTGCAACCAGCACAGCAGCAGAAATCGGGGAACACAGGGGATGGGAGCACCCAAAGTAAATATCAGGCGCTTCTGCTGGGCGTTTCCTGTTCGTCCCTTTGACTTTCGAAGCGCCTCAAAAGGCATGTGCTCTGCTAAGCACCAAAGTGTTTCCTGTTCTTCTAATGCGATTTGGAGCTCACTGTTTCTATCACACCGAAACAAGCTGAATATAAAGGAACAGCTCATAGAGAGGAGGAGAGCATTGGTTCGCATCGCACCTGTTCATACCGTGGTCGGTGGGTTTGCCGCTCGCACCAAACGCTCAGATGATCTTATTCGCCCCGCTGCACTTAAATGGAATAAGCTGCTTATAAGAAAATCGCTTATAGGGGGGGACGAGAGTCATCGCACCTGTTCATGCCATGATCGGTTGGCCTGCCGCTCGAACCGAACGCCCAGATGATTTGATTCGCCCCGCTGTAAGTCACTGGAACCACCCCGTCCGTGCCGTTCCGCGTGAACCTGCGGTCAGTCACGCACAAGGTAAAGAAAACCGTGTGAATTGGGGAGATGGGATTGAGACGAGGCTTATCGCTCGTAACACACGTATAAACTTTGCCTGCAGAGGCAGGCAGAAAACGGGGAAGCGCCACACTCCGCTCGTACCTCATCACGATGCCACTTGGTCCCCACGCGAGCGCGGCATTCCCAAGGCTAAACCTCGAGGTGGGCGCAACTGTGGTTTGACTGTAGCCTTCTAACGCGTACGCCGAGGGTCGGCCGTTTCCCGCAACACCCACAACACCATCGGCAGGGAGCATGTACCCCGTCTTGCTCCACGCTATCGCGAACCAGCCTTTATTGGTCGATACACCGCTCCCCGCCTTCGCCTCGACCGCCATGGCTAGGCTTTGCGGCCCGTCGAGCTTCCAGTGCAGCACGAGGCTGAGGGAAGGGCGGGAGGGGCATGTTAAGGGCGGGAGGGGCATGTTAAGGGCGGGAGGGGCATGTTAAGGGCGGGAGGCGCATGTTAAGGGCGGACGGGAAAAGTGTGCGATGAGTAAGCAAATAGGCGTTGGGGATCGTCGAGCTTCCAGTGAAGGACGAGGCTGACGAGCGGAAGGGGATGATGCACGACGAGTGCGGGAAGGAAGACTTTTGAGGCACCTATGAAGGGAATATGCATGACGATATGTAAGGGACGGAACTACGCATAGCGGCGAGAAGTTGTCGGCAGGGCGCGCGCCTTCGCCTTGACCCCGCTGGCGAGGCTTTCAAGACCATTGAGCTTCCAGTGAAGGACGCGTCCGAAGGGCGGAGAGAGCAGTGTATGGGCAAGTTGCTTTGGAATATATGGAGAGCTTCGTGCCTCTTGTAACTTTTGAGGCGCCTCGAAGGGTGGGGCGAGCCGTATATGATGGGCAAGTTGCTTTGGAATATATGGACAGCTTCGTGCGTCTCGTAACGCACCCTTTACCCGACAGGTCGATCGACGAGGTGAAGCCCGGAAGCGAAGACGCCTTACACGCCCGTGAGGTAGCGAGCTTGCGCCGCCGGCTGTCGAAGCGCTCGCGCCCATGATCACGACTCGTGCTTTTGGGTGTCCCTGCCTCACCGCCGCTGCTTCCGAGCACCGTCAGTCGCCGCCTAATGTCGAAGATGCTCTCTCGCCGACTTTGAGTTTCAATCATAGCTTCGTTCTGTACGATTTCCGACGAATATCGTCTGTTTTCCTGCGGTTCCCCGACAGCATGTGACACTAAGCATAGTGCTACTAGCGAGACCGCGACTTGAAATGTATGCCGCATTTCGGAACGCTGACGGACGGCCTGTGTACTGAGCAGGATAGATTGTTAAGGGATATCACAAGGACGAACTGGTTAACTTTTGAAACCAGCAGTACACATGGGGATTTGACAAGGTCCGCCAAAACTCAGGAGCTCATGGTCGAAGGCGAAATCCGCTAGGACGTTCGAGAAGCGCGGGACGATTTGAGGCTCGGAGGTACCGTCTGGGGAAGGTCACTCGACTGGATTCTCTCGCTGAAAAGAATCCTTCTCAAAAAGGCCGACCAGGTGGTAGTAGGCAGCTCAGCAAACACAGAAAATAGTGATGCTGTGGTGGTGATGACCGTCTCTGGTTTGGTGGTCACACTGATCAGTCAGTCGGTGGATCATCAATCAATGTGCAATTTCTCGAGTCTCGACTCGACACACTACTGATCGTCGTCGGTCAGTACAATTGATTGCTTTCATGCGGCTCGATACCAGCGCTCGCATTTCAATTTTATAAGGGTTTGCTTTAAGGTTTACCCTAAGCTGAAAGCACATGTGCGTTACAAGGTTTTGTAGTCAGACGCTGTCAGACCTAATTCATTACTACAGGTAGTTGTCTTTAGGTGAGCCAACAGCTACATTGTTCAGCCTTTTCAGCTGTTCACCACAACCTGGGTCTGGTAAAATGTATTTTGGCACGAAAAAACCTGGATATCCGAGCCGCATTTTTAGGGTGACATACGCGGCTCGCTCTCCGACGTGACATTCACCTTGACGTGGCAACATGGAATCCGACCGTCCATTTCATCCTTGCGGCTCGAGTGGACAAATTTCTCGCCTTGACAAATGTCCAAAGCTAGCCCTGCTGAGCTCCTTGCTTCCCTTCCCTCCTCTGCCATTCCATGTCGGTTCATCACGTTCCAAGTGTCGACCTGGACACCACTGTGGCGTATTCGCCCTACACCTTGAGTTGGCTTTTGTGCGCCCCAATGCCCCACTTTGAGTGAATCTGGTGACTGGAGGCCAGGAGAGTGTCAGGTGAACGTGCACAAATTCTGAGCCTCCAATGCACAAGGTGAGTATCGACAGGGCAAATTCATCATCACGAACTTCGCAGTTCCTTTCTCAGATGCAAATCCAAATCAAGCAGAAGCTCTTATCAAGTCGCCGTATCTGCTAGCCTTCGGCCGGTCGGTGCTGTCTTACAAGCTCGTGCCATCATTGTACTCAAAGCAACTACATCGCCCCTGCTGAAACCTGTTAGCACAACAATAGATCGAAGTTTTTCTCCCTAACTCAACAGGCTTCACAGCTCCGCACTCCGTACCAACTCTTCCTGCCACACCTCTGAGCTACACGCTGGTTTCGCACGCTTCTCCACATAGCTTTCACGGCACATCTTTCCATGGGTCACTCAAACCCCATGCAGCCATGCTAGGCACGCCGGGCCCCTCTCTTATTACGCCTACGGCCTCCGCTTTTCCATGACAGAATCTTAATTGCTTCCAGAGCCAGGAACTACGTGTTGCGACAGCGGGAGACCATTATACACAGCAGACTAGCGCCCGAGCCAGGAACGACAGATTGGGGGGTTTTTTACTCAGCGGAAACCGTTGGAGCGACGAGGGTACCGAAAGCGACGATGAAGATGGTGGTGCAACTCAGAATAACTTTACTTTCGCTGCTCTTCGTAGTGTCGCTGTTGCCTCTGACCCTCGCAGTCGGGCCGCCAGCCTCACAAGCAGCTGCACGGGCAGCATCACGGGCAGCCGGACGCGCGAATCCGAAAGAAAGTTCGCGGGGAACGCCAAGGCCAGCCCCTCGGGCAGCACCACGCAGACCAGTAGTAGTACAAGCGGCCGCAGCCAGTAAATGTGACCTCAATCAAGGACGGTATGTTGCAATGAGAGCCTCCTTGAACTATTATACGATGCAGGATTCCGCCTTCATGTGGTTCTCAAGATGCAAAATCTGTTCTTTTAGGTCAAGCTTTGCACGCCTTTCGGGTTCACCTGTTGCAAGTAGGTGTTCGGTCTTACATGTAAGCCACCAACTTTTATTTCAACCTAGGTCTCTATTCCTCCCCCTGCGTGCCGTCCGTGTCGCTTTGCCACAGGTGGGTATACGACGCCAAGTACAAGCCAGCATACGGCCCCGTGAGCTGCAAAAACCTGCGATCGTACTTCAACTGCCTCGCGAACGGGCGAAAAGATCGCAGATACCTCAATTACGTGTGGCGAAGCCCTGGTTGTAACATCCAGAGGTAAGTCCCGGTTCGCGTATCGTGAACATATTATTTTCAGGGCAGTCTGTGCTCCTCGAGTTTGTTCCTGACTTGAAAAGGACTAACCACGCGCGCGTCACTTTTCTTCGCACAGGTTCAATGCGACGTCTTTCATGCACCGGTTTCGCAACAAGGTGTTTCTGGTTACCGGCGACTCCTTCGCGACGAACTTCGACGCCTCGTTCCGCTGCCTCATCGGCTCATACACCAAAACCAAGGTGCGTAAAAAGCACGGCGGTCGACGAACAAACTTCATTTAGGTGGCTCTGCGAGAGAAGCGTTTGTAGGAAGCCTAATAGGAGAAGAGCGGGGCGACAGGAAATTAGGTGCGAATTGTCAAAAACTAGCGGTGGATAGGCGACTCAAATTCTACCCGGTGATAGCTGGCGTTGGCGGCCGCTGTCTGGGCGCAGTACCCGGACGACAACAGGGAAACAGATCAGTAGGGGAGACGGCTCGAACGAGAGATCCGGCATTGGAGGAATGGCTTCACGAGAGCTGATATAGTTGCTCATTGAATAGACAGGCTTGGACTAATTGCCGCTGGGAGCCAAGGCTCTAGATGCCTAGGGTTTTCATGGTCGAAGCGCTTTAGAAACAGGCGAGGGTGTCGTAGGGTCCCCAAATAGCGGTATCTCGTGCGAACATCGTGTGAGGCGACCCAAGTCGCGAATCTCCTCGGTCTAAGTACCGAAAGCTTTGACGGTCCCCCCGTATTCTCCATTCTCCAGCACTTATGCCTGTCTCTAACTCGAGAGTTTGACTGAGGCTGCTTGTCTCCCGCTTCCTGGTCTTCTATCTTGAGCCTTCCTGGAAAAAGTTGCTCAACATCATTCGTTGCGGTGGCTTTCCGGGAAAATCAATCACCTTCAACCAGAAAAGGAGAATTCAGGGGAGACGTTTCATCCTTCTCCCCTCCTCTTCTTTTTATCTGCTCCTCTCTCCCCCTCCCTTGTTTCCCTTCTCAGTAAATGTATTACAAGATTGGAGTTTCCTAGGCTCCCCCCCCCCATTTCTCACACACACTCCCATGATCTTCCTTTTTGTGCCTGGTTTCGCTTTCGGCAGGATTTTACCAACAAGCAGTGGGGTAACACTGGAGTGAAGGCATCGGGTTACTTCGCAAAGGCTTTCAACTTCACTGTAGTTCGCGTGCCCTCGAACTTCCTCGTCGCGTCGCAACCAATCGTGAGGCTTTCCTGCCGCCCACTACAAAAACTCGACCCAATCAACACTACAATCATCTTCCAAAAAAAACGCTCCGTTGTAGGACGTTTTTATGGGCCATTGTGCATAATTTGAAGTTCTCTACAAATAACATGTAACGCAATCTCAATAATTCTTTTCCACATTCGTCTACCTGTATTGCAGGGCGAGGTATCGAGTGCAGGGGTGTGGCAAGTGGAATTAGACAAAGTGGACGACAACTGGGCCAAGCTCTTGCCCTTCACCCACTATGCGCTCTTCAGCTCCGGTCACTGGTTCAGCCAGGTGAGGCAAGGGAGGTACAAAGCGGTGGTGAGTGGTTCAAGCTGGTGAGTATCCGATCACTAGCACACAGGTTACTCCACACATACTCTCCTCCTTATGCTCTTCCATAAACACACCTCCCATCCACAGATAACACTTTGCATACCACAAGGAGAAACTCGCTATCTCTGAATAGACTGCAGCAATGGGAAGTAATTTTGCCACACGGACATGTAACCGTGCAAGAATTATCCATGTAACTCCACCCCCATCCCCATCCCCATCCCCACCCCCACTTCCTCTCAATCTCCATCCCCATCCCCATCTCCATATTCCCATCCCCCTCCCCATTCCCATCCCCATTTCCATCCCCCCAACATCCCCGTCCCCATCCCATGCAAGAGTTTTTGACGGGAATTCATCCCCATCCCCACCCCCACTTCCTCTCAATCTCCATCCCCATCCCCATCTCCATATTCCCATCCCCCTCCCCATTCCCATCCCCATTTCCATCCCCCCAACATCCCCGTCCCCATCCCATGCGAGAGTTTTTGACGGGAATTCATCCCCATCCCCAACCCAACCCCCACCCTAACCCTCTCACCCCCATTCCCATCGCCCTCCCTCTACCAGGCGTCCGACAACCTCCGGAAATACCGCCGCGGAGGGCAGCCGATCAAGCCGCAATCCGCGCTGCTAACCATGCAAGAGTCGCTCGTTACACTCACGCGGTTCGTGAAGGCGTCTGGTTACCGCGGCACGCCGTTCTTCATCACGTTCACGGCCTTCCACTACTACAACTCGTTTGACGCCAAGTCGCAGAGCTGCGTGGGGTTCACCGACCCCTTAAAGCCCAAGCAGCTGCAATACGCCGAAGCCGCGACCGATATCATCACGTCACGGAATGCACAGGTGGCGGTGAGTGAAGGGGGGGTGCAGGGGGCTATGCGGGTGAGAGGGAAGTTTCTCTTGGGGAAAGGCAAGGGAGGGGAGTTTGGATGCGATGCGAGAGGGGGCGAGGTTAAGCCCAAGCAGCTGCAATACGCCGAAGGGTTGAAGGGGGAGGGTTGTTGAAGGGTTGAGGGGGGAGGGTTGGGGGGGGGTTGGAGGAGCAGTGGGAGACAGACAGGAGCAGAAGGGATGACTGATGTGACCACCATGGTCAGAGGTGGTCAAGTTACTGAATGAACATGGCCCGAGCCCTCCACGCTCCACCAATCCTTGAAAAATCTGCAGGAAAATGTGTCTCGCTCTTCCTTACCTGCTCACTGCCTTCCCGAACCTACTGACCCTATCATATCCTCCCTCGTTCCCAAACCTATGCCGAACCTGTCCGCATAAAAATCGTGATAGTGGACTTGGCTCGATCCACCATCTCCCGGACCTACTTGCCAAACCTCCTGTCCTCTCTTTCCCGAACCTGTCCTCCGATGCGCAGATCCTACGAAAGGCACCGGAGTTTAAAATCGTGGACGTGGCTCGATCCACCCTCTCTCGCCCAGACTCACATCAACAGTTGGCAACAGGAACGGGCAACCCCGACTGCTCCCACTTCTGCGTCCCCGGGGTGCCAGATTCATGGGTGGACATCGTCAATTCGTATATGATCGGCACGATTTGATTATGAGAGACTTGGGAAGGATTGGTGTGAGGGGAGAAAATCCAGCAGATGGTAACAGGAACGGACTGCCCCAACTGCTCCCGCTTTTGTGTCCCCGAGGTGCCGGATTCATGGGTGGACATCGTCAATTCGTATATAATTGGGGCGATTCGATGAGTGATTTGATCAAGATTGGTGGCAGGGTGGGGGCTGGTTGAGCACCAGTGAGGGGGGACAGACCCTCCCAACACGTAGGGGGAATGGAAGAGGGGTTGGTGCTGTGGAGGTAGGGGTTGTTTTTTTTCTGAAAGGGGCTGTGCTGTGGAGAGAGAAGCTGCTTCTTTGAAGATAAGGTTGGTGCTGCGGAGAAGACAAGCCAGCCGTGGCCAAAGTATATGCCTACATATGTGTGCGTGAACGGATATGGATGCAACCGGCATCCAGAATCTCATACGGCGACAAAAACGTCGTACGATACAGTAATCTATGTGCACGCTTCATGAGCTCAATACCGTAGGTTATTCTCTGGTTTGAATCCAAATCATGACCAGCTGGGACGGCGTATAGGATGTGTTTGTTCTCCTAATAAGCTGTTGCATGCAAGATTTCATCAAGCACTTACACTACAAATGTTGTGTGCAGGCCTCTGGTTAGGTTTTGAGCTACTCTTTCACGTAAGGCCAACACCCCGCTTGCACTTTTTCTGAAAGGGTGCTCACAATAACTACTCTTTCTAGTAAGGGTGCAAACATAATATGGTTCTTCTACAAGTAGCTGAACATTCCGAAATGGTCGAGTTGATGGTGTTGTAGTGAGTTGCGTAGAGGAATTTACGCGTATGACTCAAGTCCGATACGGTACTTGAATTAGGCTTATCTGAACGAGGTAGCATTTTCCGCGAGAACTCTTACCATACTCAGTTAGATCTAACTCAATGTCATCAGTGTTACTACACCACATAACTCTGAAATATCAGTGTGGTATAACCAAACAATTTTTCTTGTAAGGGTTAAAATGTTGACCACTCTGATAAAAAAGGGTGCATCGTCGAACCCAGCCTTATAGTAAGGGTCATAAGGGTGAATCACCCTGTTAACCAGAGGCCTGGTTGTGTGCCTTCATATCAATGAAGTTGTTACGGGTGCAATGGATCGAAGTAGCGAGGATTGCACTAAGGTGTCAAACGAGTACAAAATGTGAGCGAAGGCATGAGCGAATATTTATACACGAAACATGCGAACGGTAACGCGGTGCGTGCGAGCTAGCTAGTGCTACGCTGGAGCGATGCTCGGGCTAGTCCCGAAGCGTAGGCCGATACGGCCAGGCAGGGCCCAAAATATCAGGGTAAAATACCATTTTTGCCCTTTCTGTAGGCCGCTTTTATTCAGTTACCCTGATCAAGGCAGGCTAACAGTACAGTTACCCTTTCTTCAAATTAGTGGTTTTTTTTTACCCTTTCAAAAACAGTGTAGTAGTTTCCTTTCCCTGACTAAGAAGTGTCACACAAAGGTTACAGTAGCAGCGATCCGAAGAAACCGAAGCCGATTGAAAGACATCCCGCACGCATCAACGTTCGAACCTGCAACCTTACCATTCGGAGACGTTCACTGAGGGAAATACTTACTAAGTCATTCACTGACGTAAGGATTTACAAATCCTTACTGAGGGACTCGTTAGCGAGGACATCCCGAGGGTCACGCGACGAACCAGTGTCAGAGTATTATAGCTGATGCATGTTTGTAGGCTATAGTGGGGTAGCACATATGGGGTACAGCTTTCTAGGGTTGTATTTGTACCCAACTCTGACTTAGTCATTTCATTCCTGTTCACTTGTTTCACATGGTATAGAGCGGGTCCTTCCTTAGGACCGTTTTGTTTTAGGGCCCACCGAAGCGCGCCCCGAGGCGCGCCTTTTTTTTAGCGACCCCTCGGGTCGCCATTTCCCTCGCGGCCCCGCTGTCCCTCAGACGCGGCCCCGCCACCACTCCTGATCGCGGCCCCGCCGCCTGCTTGACGCGGCCCCGCCGCCTCCACTGACGCGGCCCCGCCGCCGGCTCTGACGCGGCCCTGCCGCCCGCTTCGTCGCGGCCCCGCCGCCTGCTTGACGCGGCCCCGCCGCCTCCACTGACGCGGCCCCGCCGCCGGCTCTGACGCGGCCCTGCCGGCCCGCCGCTGCACCCTACGGCCCGCCGCTGCACCCTACGGCCCGCCGCCTCACCTGACGGCCCCGCCGCTGCACCTGCCGGCCCGCCGCTGCACCTGCCGGCCCGCCGCTTCACCTGACGGCCCCGCCGCTGCACCTGCCGGCCCGCCGCTGCACCCTACGGCCCGCCGCTGCACCCTACGGCCCGCCGCCTCACCTGGTCGGCCCGCCGCTGCACCCTACGGCCCCGCCGCTGCACCTGCCGGCCCGCCGCTGCACCGTTCGACCCGTCGCTGCACCTGACGGCCCCGCCCCTGCATCTCCCGGCCGAGCCGCCCCAGCAGCAGAGCCGCCCCAGCAGCCGAACCGCCCGGGAGCCGAGCCGCCCAACGCCGAGCCGCCCGGGACCCGAGCCGCCCTGCCGCCGAGCCGCCCGGGAGCCGAGCCGCCCTGCACCCGAGCCGCCCTGCCGCCGAGCCGCCCGTGAGCCGAGCCGCCCTGCGCCCGAGCCGCCCAGCCGCCGAGCCGCCCGGGAGCCGAGCCGCTGTGCACCCGAGCCGCCCGGTCGCTGAGCCGCCTTTCTGCAGAGCTGCACGACCTGCCTTGCCTGGTGAGCACAGTCCCACTGACACTGCGAGCTCTTTCCCTACTGCTTGCACTGCGTCGCTGTCGTCGCCATGGCTACCCCTAGTGTCCTAGCTTTTGACGCTGAGGGTCGCGCCATTGATTTTGAGGTCTGGTTAGACGACCTGCAGCTGTTCTTACAGTGCGACAGGGCTGACGACCTTTCTCTCTTTGACCTCACCTCTGGCGCCTCTCCTGCTCCTGCTGCTGATGCTGATCCCACTGTCCGCTCTAAGTGGGCCACCCGCGATGCTGCTGCACGTCTTGCTGTGCGTCGCCACCTCCCTACCTCTGAGCGTGCGCACTTTAGTCAGTACAAGAGTGCTCAGACCTTGTACGACGCTGTAGTTGCGCGCTACTCCTCCCCTGCCACTGCTGCACTGAGCCGTCTCATGCTTCCCTACCTCTTTCCTGACCTCTCTGCCTTTCCCACTGTTGCTGACCTCATTACGCACCTCCGCACTAGTGACACTCGCTACCGCGCCGCCCTTCCTGCTGAGTTCTGCGCTAAGAACCCACCCCCCATGTACATCGCTCTCTACTACGTAGTCGCGCGCCTCCCTGACTCCCTTCGCGTCGTCAGGGACCACTTTCTCGCAGTCTGTCCCACCACCCTCACCGTCGACCTCCTCGAGAAGGCCCTCCTAGCAGCGGAGAAGAGCATAGTCGCTGTAGGTGCTTCTCGTGGTGACCCTCGCACCCCCATCTTTGAGGGGTGCTCTCCTTCCCCCTTGCTGCCCTCTGTTGCCTCTGCTGCTGCTGCCGACCTGCTTGGTCTTGAGTCGGTCGGCGCGGCGTCTACCCCTAGTGGGAGACGTCGCTCCAGCAAGGGCAAGGGGGGCAAGGGCGCGGGTGGAGCTGGAGGGGGCGGTGGCGGTGGCGGCGGTGGCGGCGGAGGGAGTGGGGGTGGCGGCGGGACTAGTGGCGGGGGTGGTGGTGGTGGTGGCAGCAGCGGCGGAGACGGTGGTGGTGGTGCCAGCGGTGGTGGTGGAGGCAGCGGCGGAGGTGGAGGCGGCGGAGGTGGAGGCGGTGGAGGCGGCAGCGGAGGAGGCGGTGGTGGTGGAGGAGGTGGAGCTGGTCGGGGTGGTACCCAGCAGCGTAGCGGCGGTGGTGGTGGCCAGCGCTCGCAGCGGCAGCAGCAGCAGCGCTCGCGGGACATCCCTCCGCCTCAGCAGCTTCGTGAGTGGTACGCTGGGCGTCAGAGGGGTGGGGGTACTGGTCCCTGCACCTACGTTCTTCGTTCCGGCGACCGCACGGGTGAGCAGTGTGGGGGGTGCCCACGCCACCCAGCGCTGCTTTGGCCGCCTGACGGACGCTTGGCGTCAGCAGTTCCCTGGGGCTAGTGAGATCCCTCGCTGGGATGAGCTTCTAAGGGCTGGTGTAGCGATCTTTGATCTTGATTTTGATGCTATCCTTGCTGCTATGTATGCTGTGGATTATAGTGAGGAGAATGAGGGTTACCGCTGTTTCCAGCCCGACCCGGGCATTGGTACTGCTGCGCTAGGTGCTTGTGAGGCTGCTGCTCTAGGTGCCAGTGCGTCTGTGCTCTCAGGTACTGGTGAGACTGCGCTCTCAGGTACTGCGTCGTCCTCGTCCTCCCTCACTTTCACACTTGACTCCGGGGCTTCTCGCTCCTTCTTTCGAGACCGCACTACCCTTACGCCGCTCGGCCGGCCGGTTGCAGTCTCCCTTGCTGACCCCTCTGGGGGTCCTGTCCTGTCTCACTTCTCCATTGTCCTCCCGTGTCCGGCTGCCCCTTCGGGCACCCTGTCTGGTCTGTACCTTCCCTCGTTCTCTACGAACTTGGTGAGTGGAGCGGACCTGCAGGATGTGGGGGTTCACCAGTTCACTCCTGCGAGTCAGCGGGTGACCCACTGCACGGAGGCACGCACAGGCCGACACCTGGCCACGTTCTCGCGTCCGCCGGGGTCGAGTCTCTACACCCTGACCGTTGCGTCTCCTCCTGTCCCTGCGTCTGGTCAGGTGGCTGCGTCGGTTCAGGTGCTTGCTGCTGCGTCCCGGTCAGGTCCTGAGTCTGCCCCCTGTTCTTGTCGCCTCCTGTCTCACGAGACTCTCTTGTGGCACCACCGTCTTGGCCACCCCTCCTTGCCCCGTCTTCGGAGCATGGCTTCCCGTGTCCTTGTCTCTGGTCTTCCCCAGTCTCTCCCTCCTCTCCCCTCCGGGCCAGGACCTTCCTGTGTCCCCTGTGTCGAGGGTCGCCTCCGGGCTACTCCTCACTCCTCCCACTTCCCCC